TACAAGAGCTGGGGTACAGGCCAGAGGTGTGGGGGGGGGGGTGAGAGGATTCACCAGAGACAAAGTGGGGAACAGAACAGGCAGATTGACCGAAGTACACTGCTGAGGGGAGCAGCTGGCGAGTCAGGAGAGGTCTGCTGTGCCATGTGGGTTGCTCCCTAGCTGGCCGGGGGATCCAACTTGTGCTGCAGAGCCTGGGGACAGCTTCACAGTGCTGTGTTTAATCCATTGCACCATCAGGGAGGCCCCACTGTGTGCACATTTTCATCTTGCCAGTACCCACTGAACAGCTTCACTCTTTCTACTATCTCCAAATCTGGGCAACCACCATTCTGTTTTCTGTTAGTAAGAATTTGACTACTTCAGATACTTCATATGAGTGGAATCATGTAGCATTTGTCTTTATGCAACTGGCTTATTCTACTTAGCATAATGTCCTCAAGGTTCATCTGTATTGTGCATATGACATAATTTCCTTTTTTTTTTTTTTTTTTTTGTGGGACCCTTGACGGTGGCCAGGGATCGAACCGGTGCTGCAGAGGCTGCGGGTAGCCTTGCAACCCAGCGCTCAACCTCTGTGCCACCAGGGGAGGACCTCAAAATTTCCATCTTTAAAAAAAAAACAAAAACAAACAAACAAACAAAAATTTCTACTGTAGGTGTAGTCATGACTTGCTTAACAACACCAATTAGGTGATTTTGTTATTTGTGAAAACACCGTAGAGTGAAATTATATGATCCTAGATGGTATTGCCTACAACACACCTAGTCTACATGGGATAGCCAACTGGGACCACCATGGTGTATGCAGTCTGTTGTTGACCAAAACGTTGTTAAGCAAGGTATGACAATATAAACCATATTTTTTTTTGTCTTTTCATCAGTGGATAGACATTTAGGTTGCTTTCACCTCTTGGCTATTGTGAAGAGTGCTGCAGTGAACACATGGATATGCAAATATTTCTTAGAGATCCTTTTTTCAACTCTGCCTTGGAAGTGGGACTGCTGGATCATATAGCAGTTTTATGAGGAAACTCCATGTTGTTTTCTATAGCAGCTGTTCTATTTTACAATCCCAGTTTCTCAACATCCTTACCAATCTTTGTTATTTTCTATTTTTGTTGTTTACTTTTATTTATTTATTTGTTTGTTTATTTATACAAGCACTGGGTACAATCAGAAGCACAGGAGGGTGAGAGAATTCACCAGAGTCAGAGCAGGGAGCAGAGCAGGCAGAAGGACCAAAGTACACTGCTGAGGGGAGCAGCCGGCGGCAGGAGAGGTCTGTGGGACCCTCCTCCGGTGGCCGGGGAGCAGCCGGGGATCGAACTGGCGCTGCCGAGGCTGTGGGCAGCTTCGCAAGCCAGCGCTCAACCACTGCGACACCAGGGAGGCCCTGTTGTTTACTTTTAAATAGCATATGAGGTGATATCTCATTGATCTCATTGCTATTTTGATTTTCATTTCCCTGATGTTCGGTGATGTTAAGTATTATTTTATATACTCTTTGTTCATTTGTATATCTTTGAAGAAGTGCCTGTTCAAGTCCTTTGCTCATTTTTTAATTGAGGTTTTGTTATTGTTGAGTTGTAGGAATCTTTATGTATTGTAGGTATTAATTTTTTACCAGATAAATGGTTTGTAAATATTTTCTCTTATTCTGTAGGTTGCCTTTTCTCTGTTGATTTTTTTATGCATAGAAGTTACTACATTTGACATGGTCATGTTTGTTTATTTTTGTGCTTCTATTGTCTGTGCTTTTAGTATCATATACAAGAAATCATTGCCAAATCAAATGTCATGAAGATTTTCCCTGTGTTTTTTTCCAAGAAGTTTTATAGTTTCAATCTTTCATTTAGTTCTTTAATTATTTTTAGTTAGTTTTTGTATGTGATGTATAGTAAGGATCAAGTTCATTTTTTTTCATGTGACTATCCAGTTTTCCAATCACCATTTGTTGAAGATAATATCCTTTCTCCATTGTGTGCCCTAGGATCCCTTATCAAAAATCATTTGCCCATATACATGAAGATTTGTTTCTGTGTTGTCTATTGTAGCCCATTGTTCTATTTCTGTCTCTGTTCCTATACCACACTACTTTAATTACTATAGCTTTGTAACATGCTTTAAAATCAGAAACTGTGAGATTTCCATCTTTGCATTTCTTTCTCAAGATTGTTTTAGCTATTTATTGTCCTTTGAGAGTCAATATGAATTTCAGGACTTTCCTATTTCTCCAAAAATGTTACTGAGATTTTGATAGGGATTGTACTAAACCTGTAGATTGCTTTTGATAATACGGGTATCTTAATAATATTAAGGATATGGTATATTTTAATAACTATATGGAAGAACTAGTTGTTTATATAGGTCTTTGTGCTTTGTATATTCTGTTGTCTTATTGAAGAATACTTATTTTACTTTCTCTCTAAGAGAAGGAGGGGGGACATCAAAAGGGAAAAGGAAGAGCTACATTGCTTCAGCTCACACAAAGGGTATTGAGTCATTAAGATAGAAGCTGAAAATAAGGGACAAGGTGATCCGTAAGTATCCCTCTGATTTATAACTTCCTTCAAATTACCTGATGCATCAAAGGACTACTCCTAGCAATCCTAATTCTTATGATTATATTGAAATTCAGAATACATAATAGTGAGCATTTTAGATTTAGTTGTGACAATCATAGCTTTCAATGATTAATTCCAGTTCATGGATTTTAAAATGAAAGCGCGCCTAATAAAAGTTACCGATTAAGATACTAAAGTTGGGCCTTCCCTGGTGGTGCAGCGGTTGAGCGCTGGGCTGCGAAGCTGCCCGCAACCTCTGCAGCACCAGTTCGATCCCTGGCCACTGGCGAGAGTCCCACATGGTGCACAGACCTCTCCTGACCTCTCTTGCCATGCCTACTGCTCCCCTCAGCAGTGTATTTTGTCAATCTGCCTGTTCTGTTCCCGCTCTGGCTCTGGTGAATTCTCTCACCCTCCTACGCTTCTGACTATACCCAGTGCTTGTATAAATAAATAAATCTTTTTTAAAAAAAGAAGATACTAAAGCTGGTTTCTGCTATCAATGTTTTAAATCTATGAGTTATTTTACTTTGGGTTCAACTTTTTTTTTTTTTAAGGATATTTTATTTATTTATACAAGAACCGGGGTATAGGCCAGATTCATGGGAAGGGTGAGAGGATTCACCAGAGACAGAGTGGGGAATAGAACAGGCAGACTGACGAAATACACTGCTGAGGGGAGCAGCGGGCACTACAGGAGAGGTCTGCCATGCCTTGTGGGACCCTTGCTGGCCGGCCGGGATTGAACTGGTGCTGCTGAGGCTGTGGACAGCTTCACAGCGCTGCGTTCAACTCCCTGCGCCACCAGGTGAGGTCCTTGGATTCAGTTTTTTTAATGAACAATTTCTTCTTATTTTATGGATCTAATTTCTTCTTTGTAAAGATATTAATTAAAGCCTTTTGACCTTTTCCTCTATTATCTGCATGCTCTCTATTCCTTCAGATTGTGTTCTCGTGTTTGTTTTGTTTTATTCTTCATGTAACTGAGTGGTGATCTTGAATTGTTCATTGACTTGTAAGTATAATTAAAACATGCAATTTTTTTCATTGTGGGCATGCGTCTTCTCTAACAGATGATGTAGAGGCCTGACTCTTTCAAATACCAATATCTGTAGCCCTTTTCTGTGGGGCTGTTTTTGTTTTTTCCAAAAATAATCCATGAGATTACTACTTAAAGTGGTATATATCTTCCTGATAGTGTTCATGTATTATTTTTTTCCTGCATAGTCACCCTCTTTTCACACTTGGATCCTTTTTTTAAGTTTTTAGATAGACAAACCATGCACCAGAGTGAGGCAAACATAGCTGTCAGGGGAGGAATCTGAGCCGCTGCTCTCATTAAGACCTGGAATCATCTCCCTGCACTTCGCCCCGGCCTTCTTAGTATCAGATAGCTATAATTTGGGAAATTTTTGGAAGATTGTGACTTGAGTTGACTTTCTCATGGTTATACCTTCTTTGGAGGAGGTATTTGCTATTCTGGTTTCTGAACACGGTTGCATTCTTCCACCTGCTTTCCTTTTCTTACAAATTTGTTGGTATCTGTAACCTGTTTTTATGTCTCCCCAACTTGTTTTGTTCTGTGGGTTTTACCATTTAAAAATATTTTTGCTTACATTTAATAATGTCCCCAGAAACAACAGAAATAAAAACCTATCTTTAACCTGCCATTTTTAAGGTAAATATCTTTCTATAGCACGCAGGACCTCAAGACCCATCTCAAGTCCCACCCATTTCATGAACACTTGCCCTTATAACTCTAAATGTGTTGGTGTTTCCTGGTCCTTATCATGAAACAAACAAAACCCTTGTTTTCAGCTCTTTGTTCTAGATTTGTTTCTGTGGCCATGTGACTAAATTAATATTTTAAATTGTCTTTAAATTTTAAAGGAGTGAAAACTTTAAAAAGAAATAGTTTAAATGCCCATTGTGTACAAAGCATTAGATTTGGTTATTGCAGGGGGGTATCTAAAGATCTGTCTCTCTTAGAGGCATGTGGCTGCAATAACCCAATAACCCTGAAAAATGACATTGGAGGGTGGAATATATGGTGGAAACAGGAGGTGGGGAAGCCTCGTGTGTCATTCAAGGGAAACAAAGGATAATAATGTAATAGGAGGGAAAGTTCCAAGCTTTGTTCAGGCAAGAATAAGTTTAAGTTCATGAATTCTGGTGTTTCTGTAAAGGAATAATAAATTTAAAAAAAAAAAAACTGTAAATCTTCCTGTTTTGGGCATAGTGGTTATTAGTCCTGCTAGGCAGATATTTCTGTAGCCTCCTCCCCACCAACATATGATAATGAAGGCTTAATAAGTACTTGGCGAATTAATGAATGGAAAAGCACTTTGGGAAGACACTTTTAATATACTATATATATCCTTATACTTTCTAAGAACAATAAACATTAAAGTTTTTTTTTTTGTCTAAATTTAGATTTTCCTTGCTGCTGCTTAACTTGGAGGAGTACTACTTTGAACAGCATACAGCTAATCATGTTCAACATAAGGGCAGTCAGGATGAAAGGTAAGGAAGATTTTGGATCTCCATGGACTAAGAAGCCTTTTGATGTCTAAGATTTTAAAATTAAACATGTCTGAAATTAAAATTATTAGAATTAAATATTGTCTGATATTTTAAAATCATGTAAATACCCCTTTCTTCCTATTTGGAATGAGAAGAGGGGATTTATAATTTGTTGTTATAACTTCAAATCTAGGAAACAGTGTGTTCTCATTTCTTTTTTTTTTAAAGATTTATTTGTTTATGCATACAAGAACTGGGATACAGGCCAGATGTGTGGGGATGAGAGTATTCACCAGAGACAGAGTGGGAAACAGAACTGGCAGACTGACTGAAATACACTGCTGAGGGGAGCAGTGGGTGAGACAGGAGAGGTCTGCTGTGCCATGTGTGTAGCTCCCTTGCTGGCCCGGAAAAAAATTCATGCTGCAGAGGCTGCAGACAGCTTCACAGTGCTGTGCTTAACCCCTTGTACCACCAGGGAGGCCCTGTTCTCATTTCTTTAACTGTTTAGGTATCTTAAATCACCTGAGTAGGTTTCTGATTCATTTCATCACTTTTTTTCTTACATCCCATTTGTAATTACATTCTCAAATATTTGGGTTATGGTCTTACAAATTAATGACCATAAAACACAGAGTGGTATAAAAATCAGCACTTTCAAAATGAGTAACTTAAACTAGAAGCGAAATCTGCTTTCTTGCTATTTTAGTAACTACTACTCATTACTACAAAAACAGATTTGTTTCTTTGGTCATATCTTTTGCAAAAGAGTGTAATGAAGTAATGAAGTGTTTTGTTTGTTTAAAATGCCAAGTTGGAATGTTTCATTTTGTTAATGTTAATGTTTTGTTTGGTTAATGTTTTGTTTTGTTAGTATTTTGTTAAAACAAAAGTTGTTTCAGCAAAAGTGTATCTGTTAATAATTTCCTTTGAGAGGCCCTTTGGCAACTGTTGGCCACAACTTGGAAGTTGCTTTCATGTTAGAGAAACTCTTTAATTTTGTTATATGATAACAAAAGATAAAGACTGAGTAGTATTTAAATAAAAAAGTAAAAATTATTTAGCTTTTTTGTTCAGGAACTCGGGACATATCTGTTTCCATAACATTTCAATAAGATTAGATAGTTACTATTCCTTGAACATATTCTTTTTCCTACTTCCATAACTTTTTATCTCGTATCCTCCGTCCTATATTGTAAAAATGTGTTGCTTAAAATTAAATACGTTTGTTTTTAAAATGCAAATATAACCTAGAAAACCATAACCTGTTTTTGAGTTTAAAAGTTATTATTAGTGTGAATGGTACATTCCTATGGAAGTGAATTTGTTAATATCTAGCAAGGTCTTATATGTATCAATCTATTGATTTAGTGATGCAATTTCCAGGAATATTTCAAAGATACACTGGAAAATATGTAAATGGTCATACACAAAAGGTTATTAATTACAGCACTACTTATAATATCAAAATACTGGAAACATTTCAGTAGGGAACTGATAGAATAAACCATGGTTGTCTACATATGGTACTATGCAGCTGTAGTATTGACATGAAGAAGTTCTATATAGAAGTGCTCCCTGGTATATATTAATTGCAAAAAATAGGGGGCTGAATACTGTGTATTTTTATGCTACCTTTCTTATAATAGAAAGGGGGGACAGTTTTTTTAGTATATTTAAAAAAATTAATAATATTGTATATTACATATTTTAGAAAACATGAACTTTTCAACCCAGAAAAGGGAGGGATTGGGGGGATAACATGAAGACTCGGTTTCTCTAAATTTACTTTATTTTGTAATCTTCACTTTGGAACAACAAGTATTTTATATGTATCTTTTAATATGGAATTAAATTTTAAGAGAAATAGTACATATTAAAAATCAAAAAGAAAATGAGACAAATGAACTTAACTCCTCATAAACTTGGAGGTTAGCCACAGAAAAGAATTGTATTTATCAACATCACAACACAGTATTTTAACTGTGTCCCTGGTAAGATATATCCTAAAGTAGAAAAGAATCGAAAAGATGTGGTAAATTGCTTTGGTAGTCATATTATTATTAATAATTATTGGCATTATTATTTTGAAACATATATACATGCACATAGATTTATATAGTTGGATAAAGCAGATAATATGTTAATTTCAGGAACAAACTTTTCCACATAAAAGAGACATAAATCTAATAATAAAGGAATTAAGTAAAAGCCTTATAATCTTCAATTTGAACTAGAATTGCTTACATGGATTCATATACTTTTTTAATAATAAAGGAGTTAAGTGAAAGCCTTATAATCTTTCATTTGAATTCAAAATACTTACATGGATTTGTATACTTGTCTTCTAAGGGAAAGTATTTTCTAACTCTATCCTCTGGAAAGGCCTAGAACTAACCTGGTAACAGTGAGCACAGTGATTATGATCTCTGAATACCACTTTCCACTAAAAGGAATGAGGGCTCTTTGGAGAAATGACTAAGTCTGAGTCTGAGGCAGAAAATGTGTGAGATGACTCTGAAACATCTTGTCATACTGATAAGAAAGGAAGCTATCAAAAGCAATTGAAAATTGAATTAAAAGGTCACAAGGGCCAACTTGAAGAGGTTAACAGGCAAAAATTGGATAAATTGAGCATAAAAAAATAAGTGCCTTCAGTGAATTAAAATGTATCAGAAGTGCTAAAACCATGAATTCACACACACACACATACCCAATGGATACACATACATACGCTAAACAGTTACCTTTGAAGGACATTAGGACACCAACTCATTTTTCTGAAACTTGACAATTAAATGTAAAAAATGAAGCTTTTTTCCTGTTTTTCTAATACAAAGTGTACTTCAGGGTAACCAAATTGTAGGTAAGTAAAGTTCTTCTTTGTTGACAAATTCTAACTAATAAATATAGAAAGAATGTTCAAGATTTCAATTCCTAAAGAATAATGGATCTATAGTATATCAGGGGTCTATAAGCCATAGTAATTGCAGTAGCTGGGTGATTGATACTTGGGAATTTTTTATTCTTTCAATTTGTATATGCTTAGAAATTTCTATAAAATGACTTATTAATAATTTGTGGTGTTAGAAAAGTATTCAATAAATGCTGTTAATGGTATGGAAAAATTATATAAAATCAGCAATTTAAAAAAATCCTCTGAGGAAGACTTCTAAGTTAAATGATGACCTTCAGCATAATGAGTGTTCACATTCTTTAAGTATATCTATATTGAGCACTGAAGCAAGAAAGCTAAAGTAAATACTTTCTACCCATAAAAAAAACAGGGAGGATTGCTCTGGTGGTGGAGGAGATGGTCAGTGCTCTTATATTATAAAATTGAATTCCTCAGTGTGATTTTTTTAAATACTGTGTTTCCAAATACAGCATGTGAATTGCAAATGCCAATAGGAACCACTATTTTGTGTTTAGTTTATCAGAATTAATCCACAGAATAATATGAACTAAAGCCCCATTTTCTCCTCTTACCCCACATAATGATTTCAAAAAGTATTATCATATTGGGATAGAGGAGTGAATTTTTCAGGGATGAGGTATTTGAACTAGATCTTGATAAATATTGGTATTTTTCCAGACAGTGGGGATAGGAATAGCATATACAAAGCTAAAAGGTCTAAATGAGCAAGATTATTTTGATTAGATTATAGAGTTAATATATCACAAATATTGACAATGAGATGGAGAGGCTTTTGTTTTGGATTTATCCTGTAGGGCAGGAAGCTATTGGCATATCTGTAAGCAAGGAAGGATATCGATTTTTTTTAAGATTTATTTATTTATTTATACAAGCACTGGGTACAGTCTGAAGCACGGGAGGGTGAGAGAATTCACCAGAGCCAGAGCGGGGAGCAGAGCAGGCAGAAGGACCAAAGTACACTGCTGAGGGGAGCAGTGGGCGGCAGGAGAGTTCTGCGTGCCATGCGGGACCCCCTCTGGTGGCTGGGGAGCAGCCGGGGATCGAACGGGCATTGCAGAGGCTGCGGGCAGCTTCGCAACCCAGCGCTCAACCGCTGGGCCACCGGGGAGGCCCTAGTTTTTGTTTTTTTTTTTGTTTGTTTGTTTGTTTTTGTTTTTGTTTTGGTAGAGGAAGAATTTACATGAGTTGAGGGAAAGTAAGAAGGTATAGAAGCTAGGAAAGCAGTCAGGTTCTTTCTAGAATATAAGTGAAATAAATGCTTCAGTTAAGAAGATTCTATGTTGTTTACTAGGGCACCGAGGGATGGCTAGAATAAAATTCCAATGCCATAAAGTTATTTTAAAGAACCTAAAAGTCTTGAAGTTCTATTTGTAGACAAAATGTACTATTGAATATTAATTTTTAGATGATTTTTTAATAAGTTAATATTTGCATCACGTGTGTTCTGATTATGAACTGTTGCCTTGATTTAATCATTAATAAGTCATACAATCAATAAAAAAGTATAGATTTTTATTAGCCTCAGGCAAATGATCCATATTGGTTTCAATTAATAACTGTCTCTAAAATGATAAACAAATTTTACCAAAAACTTATGGAAACCATATAAACATCCCAGGAAAGGATAAAAATGGTAAAGTCTACAACTGATTTACTTGATGGTCTAGCATTAGGCAGTCTTTAAAATTGTTACCTTGGAATTTTTTTTTTCCTGAATTCCAACATACCCCAAAATCACCATTAAAGTATTTGATGTGCTAAATTCAAACTCTGTTGTTTTTCCGTAATTATAGATTTTAAAAATTCCTTTAATCAGCATTGTCCTCTGAATTTTAGATATTCATTATTGCCTTTTGAATAGTCCTTTCAGATTTAAGAAGCTAAAAGTCAACAGTATTTCTTAAAAAATCAGTTTTCTGATCCTTTGTTTCTTTCTCAGAGTAGTTATGTGGTACAAATGAGGTAATAAAAATAAAACGCATGAGATGAGCTCAATAAATGAAACCATAATTACAATCTGTGCACATTTCATTAACCTCTAGAGAGGTAAAGGTAAGGAAAATTATTTTTCTATATTTTCCAACCTTTCATACTTTTCTCTTTAATTAGGTTGTTCATCTTTTATTAGTTGATGTTTTAGTCATCTACTTTCTTGTTAAAATGTATTATTCTTTGGTGACTTTTCTTATGTTCATTGATAATAATCCATTGTACTTTGATCTCTAGGAAAATCAGAGGTTCCTTAAAAATATGTTCAAAATCAGTTATTTTTGAACCGGATGCAATATCCCAGCCCATCATTAAGGTAAATGCATTTAAGTATGAACAGAGATAGTCCTACATTTTACCTTTGCTTTTTTTAAAAAAATTTCCTCAATGTTTTCCAGATTCCTTTGCGAGATTGTATAAAAATAGGAAAACATGGAGAAGATGGAGCCAATAGACACCTTGCAAAGTATGCCATTGTTACTAATACTAACTGTTTAATTTTATTTCTACCAAAGAATTGTATGTATTTAATCACTTTTATCTGTATTTTAGGGAGAAATCTGGGGAAATTTCACTTATTTTCAGTCAGGTAAGAGACATAGTAATTATTTTTTCCTAGCCTGAATAAACACAGATACACACATTTTTTTTTTTTTTGCAAGATGAAGTTATTAATTTTGTAGAGCTCTCAATGAAGACCATTGGAATAGATGGTTAAATGCTTTAAAATTTTAATAACTGAGAAATAAAAAATGTTATAATCCCTAATGAGATCCTTAATGTTTATTACATATGTGACTCCTGAAGGCTTGTGGTTTTGTCCTCAAGAGCGTACTGATACTATGTGAGGGCTGGACTGTAGTTCAATAGGACTGTAGTTCCCCTGGTGGCCTCCTAGCCATTTAGAAGGGGAGGCCTGTGCAAGCCTCCTAAATTGATTTCAGGTTAACTCAAGATGACAGCTAGCTACTCATGATGTGTAGTCTGTAATTATGTCACTTGGGGCCATGACCTTTTATTCATTTGACATTTAAACTGTGTACATTTATGTACCCAGTGCCGTGTTTAATGCTACAATACAGAGGTAAATGAAAATATGGTTTTACTCCTGTTCCATAGTTAAGGACTATAGATTTTTAAAACACTATAAAAAATTAGTTGAGACTGTCACCTGCCATTATATTCTTCATCTTTAAAATGAAAGAGTTGTTATAAGAAAGAAAAAATCAAAATCAACAAACAACTATGAACCAGAGACACACTATGGGGGGTGGGGTGCGGGGAAAGGAGGGATTGGGGTCAAAATAAGGGGGTTGCAATTGTGTGAGGAATATAAAAATAAAATTAAAAATAAAATGAAAGAGTTGAGGAGGTGAATGTTGTCTCAACTCTCTGCAGCGCTCTAATTCCTTGAAGTGTTCAAAGAAAATCCTGTGACATATTAAATGTGGGAAAACCTATGGGAAACAAAGATACAAAGATTTCTTTACTTCTGGGCTTAACATATGACAGTGCATTGAGGGCCTCAAGGAGGGAAATCATTAGGAGCAAAGTCTCTCCAGGGGTATTTGGATCACTGAACTTTTAGTTCATGGAGGATTTTTTTTTTAAGATTTATTTATTTATGTATACAAAGGGTGAGGTGTAGGGCTGAGGTGCGGAGAGGCAAGAGGATTTACCAGAGACAGTGGGGAGCAGAACAGGTGGATCTACTGAAATACACTGTTGAGGGGAGCAGTGGGCGAGACAGGAGAGGTCTGCTGTGCCATGTGGGTTAGCTCTCTGGCTAGGGATCGAACTCATGCTATAGAGGCTGTGAAAGCTTCATAGTGCTGAGACTTAACTCCTTGTACCACCACGGAGGCACCCATGGAACATTTTTTAATGATAATAAAAATTATTTTGTGAAAGCTAAGAGTTACCAGATTAGGTGATTCTGTTTGTTCAGAGAAAGGTACTATTTCTGTTTCTTTTTCACTTCACTTTTTTTTTTAACTGACATATGAGAACAGTTACAGCACCTGTATCACCTTAGAGAAGGAACCCCTTTATTAACAATTATTGTCCGAACATGTGCTGTCATTTCTGGTATCATTCTTTACTGGGGCCTTGTTCTAGAAAGTCCATGTCTTGAAAGGAGGTTTCAATTCAGTTCCATTAAAATACATACATTTTAGTAAAATTTTAATAACTTTAGGCTTAGAAATAAAGCCTCCTAACCTCAGCTACTTCTGATAGTTTATGGAATAGGTCTTATATTAAACTGGAAATCAGGTTAATGTCAAGGGTGCATAGACACAAACTACTCTTTCAAGTATTATTTTAAGCTTCCTGGGTTAAGTACACAACCAGAAAATGCAGTTTATGTGTTATTGGTTTTTTTGATTGCTTACTAGGTTACAATGTTTCAGAAATATGTTACCTCTAAGTTTTAGAGTTTTGCTTTAAAATTGTGTTTGTGTGTGTGTGTATGTGTGCACGTGGGCACAGGGGTATGCGTGCGTTTGTGTGATCATGTATAGAAGAACTGAGGTGTAGGCCAGAGGTGCAGGGGGTTGAGAGGAATTGACCAGAGACAGAGCAGGAAATAGAACAGGAATATTTACTGAAATACACTGCTAAAAGGAGCAAGTGGGCAAGACAGGCAAATTCTACTGTGTTGTATGTAGATTAGCTCCCTGGCTGGGGGATGGAACTCAGGCCATAGCGATGATAGCACTGAGACTTAACTCCTAAGCCACCAGGGAGGCCCCTGAAACTTTCTTTTGTGAGTAGAATAAACAGGGGGGTTTGCATGTGTGTGTAAACATAGCAGTTTTACTTATTTTTAAAGATTTATTTTTATTTATACATACAAGAACTAGGGTGTAGGCCAGAGGTGCAGGGTGTGAGAGGATTCACCACAAACAGAGTGGGGAGCAGAACAGACAGATCTACTGGAATACACTGCTCAGGGGAGCAGCAAGTGAGATAGGAGAAGTCTGCTATGTCATGTGGGTCAGCTCCCTGTCCAGGGATCAAACTCAGGTTGCACTGGCTGGTGATAGCTTGATAGCACAGAGACTTTAACTCCTGCATCACTACTGAATATTCATATATTCAGTAAGTGTTATATTCAAGGCTTTGTATATGTTGGGAAGGACAAAATCTCTCTCCATAGACTTTACCTTTAAATGGGGGCAACAGACAGTAAGCAAGGATCTCCTATAATGTCAGTAAGTGGTTAATGCCATGAAGAAAATGAAAGCAGGATAAAGGACAGAATATCAGGTTGCCTTTCTTAATCACTTGAAGACATGTGGGAGTGATCCATGCAGTTATTCCGAGTGTGATGTTCCAGTTACTGAGCATGGCAGGGGCCACAACTCTGAGATGTGAACATCTCAGGTAGAAGGTGCAGTGAGGTGAGTACACCTGGGCCATAGCCATAAGGGAGAGTGCTAGGAAGAAAGTATAGAGCATGGGGTGTTGAACACAGAGCTATAAAGCTGTCCACAGCCTCTGCAGTGCAGATTTGATCCCGGCCAGCCGGCCGGCAAGAATCCCACATGGCGTGGCAGACCTCTCCTGTCTCACCCGCTGCTCCTCTCATCAGTTTATTTCGGTAGATCTGCCTGTTCTGCTCCCTGCTCTGTCTCTGGTGAATCCTCTCACACTCCTGCGCATCTGGCCTGTACCCTGGTTCTTGTATGCATGGATAAAACATGACAGGGACCATGTCGTGGAGGACCTTGTGGGTCAACTGTAAGGAGTTAAAACACAAAAGAAGAAAACCATTAAAGAACTGAAAGAGAGGGGGCCCAGTCTGACTTGTACATGTTTGTAAATCTCTCTGGAGTATGAGTTCAGAGAACATACTTCATGGAGTCAAGTGTGGAAGCAGGAAGACCTTTAGGGGTGTTCAGAATCCAGGTATTGTGGACCAGGATGGTAGCAACAGAAGGATGAGTTGTGAGCAGTGTCTGGATGTATTCTGAAGAAAAGTCACTCTGATGGATTAGTTCATGGTATAAAGGAAAACAGAATCAGGAATTTGCTTCTACTGGGTCAATAGTAGTGCCTTTTATTATAGTAAAGAAGCTTAGGGAAGACTAGGCAGGCTTGAGAATGCAACCTCTGCAAGAAGTCTGGCAGGCATTTAGAAGCATTAGTGGATGGGGGTGTCTGACAGGAGACTGAGGTTGGAAAGATGGATTTTTTTTAATGCCCTGGAGCTGGATGAGCTTTCCATGTGAGGGAGTGTGGAAGGAGAGGTCAGAGGACTAAGACCCTGCAGCATTCTTGTTTTTTTTCCTAAAGATTTATTTATTTATGCATGCAAGAACTGGGGTGCAGGCCAGAGGTGTGGAGGTTGAGAGGATTCATCAGAGATAGAGTGGGGAGCAGAACAGGCAGATGTACTGAAATACACTGCTGAGGGGAGCAGTGGGCAGTCAGGAGAGGTCTGCTGCGCCATGTGGGTAGCTCCCTGGCCAGCCGGGGATTGAACTCATGCTGCAGAGGCTACGCACAGCTTCACAGTCCTGTGCTTTACCCCTGATGCCACCAGGGAGGCCCAAAATATTAGAGGTTGGGAAGAGAGCGGTTCTGCAGGAGAACAGAAGGAACAGCTGGTGATGTCGAGGAGAACCAGGAGAGAGTAGCGGCTAGACAGCCAAGTGGAAATCTGCTTTCGGAAAAGTCATCAACTCTGTCACATGACCTGAGAAACAGGGTTGATCAAATCTTGAGACTTGGCCAGTGGATAATGCAACATGGAAATACTGTGCACCTTTTATGCCCCTCACAGGGATGGTTTCAGTAATGTGGTGAAAGGTGAAGGGTAAAAACCTGTTGTGGGTTCTGGAGAAAGTACAGTGAGCTCTTTCAAAGAGGTTTTTGCCACAAAAAAGGAACAGAACTGCAGAAGGAGAATGAGACCAAGGGAGACTTCTTATCTGTGATTTTGTTTCAGTGCAAGAGAACGCAGTATTTAATTGTAGAAGCAGAGTTTTGGGTGGCTAGTCTTGAGATCCCAGCAGAACTGAGCCCAAGTCCATTAGAATAGGAGGGAAGGCAGAGATAAATTAGAAGGTGTTGGTGGCTTGTGGATGGTATTGCTTGTTTGATATAGTTATTATATATTTATATTACACAGGTCAGTACATGAGAAAATACCATATGAAAATACCAGAGAGCATCAAAAGAAATATCTTTGTTAGTGAATATATTTCATATCACAGTGACTTTGTTTTACCCAATTTTAAAGATTTATTTATTTATGCATGCAAGAGCTGGGGTGTAGGCCAGAGGTTTGGGGTAGAGGTAAGGGGATTCACCAGAGACAGTGAAGAACAGAACAGGCAGATTGACTGAAATACATTGCTGAGGGGAGCAGTGGGCAAGACAGGAGAGGTCTGCTGCACCATGTGGGTTAGTTCCTTGGCTGGGGATTGAATAACTGCTGCAGTGGCTGCTGATAGCTTCACATTGCTGAGATTTAACCCCTTAAGCCACCAGGGAGGCCGCTGTTTTACATATTTTTTTAAGAAAACTAGCACTAAGACTAGGCTTTCTTATCTATTTAGTACAAGGAGATGACATTCATAAAACTTCTTTGATGTTTTGTTCATCGGTAATGTTTGCTGCTTTGTTGTCTTGAGTCTCTTTTTAATTTAATATTTATTATTTTTAACATTAGAACTTTAAAAGTCATAGTAACATTAATGCAAATAATTTTGGAAGTAGAATTTGTGATTTAACGTCTATTTGTAATACCCTGATTTATATTTTATTCGTAACATGAAAAATTTTGGGTTTTTACAAGTGTTGATTTGTCTTTATCAGGTATATTTCATTAAAGAACACAATATTGTTGCACCATATAAAATAGAAAGGGTAAGTAAAGCTTTTCATTTATTCCCAGTAATTTATATTGTAATTTTGAGAAATAAGGCTTTGTGACTCCATTAACATCTTTAATCAAATATAATAACAATGGATATTTAAAAGCTTGTTATTTAGCAGTTATAACAGAATTACCCAGGAGAGCCACAGATTTTAGTCCAAGAAATTTCAATTAACTTTTTGACTTCAAAAAAATAAATGTGTCTAATAGGAAAAAAAAGGCTAAATGATTACATTAGAAATTGCAGTTAGAATATACATTTATAAGATTATGTATTGAATATTAATGATAATTGACTTTTTAATGTTTGAGGAATATGGGTTATAAAATATTTCAGAGTTCAATAATAATTCATTAATGTATAATTAGGTAGAAGCTATGGGTAGAGTTGAATACAATATCTGTTTTTCCAGGACTTGTCAAGAAGCATGGACATTACATTTAACCACTCTGTGCTTTATTAAATCCTTTATGCTTCAACATAATGTAGATTAAATGGATAACTACTTCAAAAAGAACGTTCTTACAGAACCTAGGGATTAGCCTAGTGCTCCTAATGACACCTTTATGATTTAGGAAAACCTACCCTCTCTGGAAAAATATCATCCCACAGGTTGAATTTCAGTCCCAGCACAAGCAAGCTTGTGGTTTCTCAGCCTTGCAACTTGTGGAATTCACAAACTGCATGAAGTGGCCTTTTATTTATGTATAAGAAACACTTGCATGTGCCAGTTATTCAGAAACTACTAATACTGAGATTTAATTACTCTCAGGTGGTGCTGTTGGCTTTTGGAGCAACATAATTCTTCATTGTGGGACCATCCCCTATATTACAGCCATTCCTACTTGCTAATGACCCTACTACACTGTTCTCCTCTTTGCTGTAGTAACCCCTCTACACATTGACAAAAGCCCCGCCTGGAGGCAGTCACACACCCCTCCCCCAAGTTGATAAACACTGCCTGGGGTGGGCCCCCTCTAAAGGCTATCTGGATACCCACTTGAAGTGTAAAGCTGCACTCAGTCTGTTGAACAATTATGTAAAAGAAATAAGAGTGATTGAGCAAAGAAAAGTTCTTTTGTTCCACTGTGAATTAGAACAACAAAGGATTCTCAGATCTTAAAAAGGGAGGAAACATGACATTGATAGTGATGAGAGAATAGTAAGCCCCAGTCCCTCCTTCCTTTCATGGAGATACTGATTTTAACAATACATGGACCTTTGTGAGAAATCCAGAATCCAATTAAGAAGCCCCCTGCACTGTAGGTGGACAAGAAACCAGTTGCCTCAAAGCTAGTGAGAAAATTTGTGACACCCTTTCACTTTAGTCCTTACCCCCAGCACAATGACATGTAATTAGAAGCAGCACTGAGCTGCTTCCTAGGGAGGGAAAGAGAAGATTGGATCCATTCATCCAATGTTTTGATTTTTCGGTGTGCTGCTTGAGGAACTGACTTCAGTCTTACCTTCCTTGGAGCTCTGACAGGGATTGGCATATTCCAGATGCCTTGGTGCCACTAAAACAGGAAGAAAAAAAAAAAAAAAAAACACAGTGGCTGCATTTTCAGAGGACCTGTGGCACAGAGGACAGAGGTGGATACAGCAGGCTCTACTGCAGGGGAAAGGAAAGAGAATCTGTATTCAGTGATTTGGCTTTTCAGGTGGTCAACCAAGGGACTGGTTGCTGCTTCACCTTTCCTGAATTCCTGATTAGCATACTCTGGATTCTACAGGCTGCTGGGAACCAAAAAGAGTTGGATAGCTCATAGCAGCTCAAAAAAACCTGCAGAATCGCAAATCAACACCAGAGAAAACAAGATTATGTGAGCTCTTTCCCAAGGACATTGGCTAATCCTTCTCTGTGAATCTACTCGCACAAGTTCAGAGAAAAGTCAACTATAGAAAAAGTTTGAGAAGCCCCCAATTGCTAGCTGAACTGATTGGTGAAAATCTTTCCCGTTTTGAAGCCAGTTCATAAAGACCAGGGGAGGTAACTCTTTTCAAATGAATGGATACCAACACAGAGTTACAATGCATCTGAAGAAACAGTAGAAATGGCCCAATCAAATATACAGAATCCTCTCCAGAATGTGAGATGAGAAAGAAATGGAGATTTATAAATAACCTGACAAAGAAAACATCATAAAGTTACTCACTGAGCTCAAGAAAATAATGTTTGAACAAAATGAGAATTGCATCAAAGAGACAGAATATACTTAAAAGAACTAAACAAAAGTTTTGGAAATGGTGGAAGAATGCAATAATTGAAATGAAAACTAACCAGATTTCAAGAGCAGACTTGATCAAGGAGAAGAAATAACCAGCAAACTCAAAGATGTTATTTGGGTTATGCCATTAGAGGAACAGAAAGGGAAAAAGAATAACTGAGTGAAGAAAACCTAAGGGGCTTATGGGACACTATCAGGTGGGAATCCTAGAAGAGAGAGAGAGGCAGAAAGCTCACTTTAAGGTATAATGGCCTAAAACTTCCCAAATCTGGGAAAAGAAATAGATATTCATGTTTAAGAAGACCAGTGGATCTCATAATTCTAAAGAAGTCCACACTGAAATACACTATAATCACATGGTCAGAAGTCAAAGACAAAGAGAATTTTGAAAACAGTAAGCGAAAAGCAACTCATCTCACACATACACAGAACAAACGTAGTAAGATTTTCATCAGTAAATTTCTGAGCAGAAACCTTGTTGGCCAGAAGGGAGTGGGATGATATATTAAAAGTGCTGAAATAAAGAACTGCCCACTAAGAATGGTGTATCTAGCAAATCTGTGCTGAGGAAATGAAGACAAAGCAGTGACTTCCCACATAAACAAAAGCTGTGGGAGTTCACCACACTAGAACTGTCTTACAAGAAATGATAAAACACGCCCTTTAACTTAAAAAGAAAAAGACTTTTAGCAGCAACACAAGAGCAATAAAAATATAAAATTCACTGGTCAAATGCAGTGACTACAGTAAATACAGTAGTTCCCCTTCCTCACAGTTTTGCACATGGTGAGCAAAAGAGATCAGTTATATATGTGTGTGTATACACAATTGTGTTAGACAAAATAAGCTTTCAGTTGAAAACTGTCACAAGAGACAAGGACATCACGTAGTGATAAAAGGGCTAATTTATGAGAAAGATATAAATTTCTGTACTTGGGTTCTCCAGAGAAACAAAACAAATTGTGTGTGTGTATGCATATGTGTATATGTATTTGGAGAGAGACATTTATTATAAGGAATTGGCTCACATGACTATGGAGGCTATGAAATCCATGCCCATGATAATTGATGTTGTAAGTTATAGTTCAAGTTCAGAGACAAAAGAAGACATGTGTCCCACCTCAGTGACAACTAGGCTGTGAAAGAATTCTTTCTTGCTCAGCTTTTTAGTTTTTCAGGCATCTACCAGATTGGATGAGACCTCCCACAATGGGGAGGGTAGTCTACTTTACTCAGTGTTCCAATTCAGATGTGACTCCCATCCAGAAACACCCTCACAGACACACGCAGAAATAACTTTTAACCAACTACTTGGGCATCAAATTAAAATAGAAAATTAACCATCATGTGATATATATTTATATATATGCTCCCAACCTCACAGTACTTAAATACATGAAGCAAACATTGTGACAGAATTGAGGGGAGAAATTGACAGCAGCAACATAATATACTTTAAAGCACCACTTTCAATAGTGGATAGAATAACCAGATAGAAGATCAGTTAGGAAACAGAGGATTTGAACACTGTAGACAAATGGATCTAATAGACACATACAGGTCATTCCACCCAATGTCAACAGAAAACACAATCTCCTTAAGACACATGCAACTTTCTCCAGAATAGATTACATGGGAAGTCACAAAACAAATCTTAACAAGTTTAAAATTGAAGTTATACCACCTGTCCTTTTTTCATCCACAGTGGAATGAGACAAGAAATCCGTAACAGAATGAAAAATCACAAATATATCAAAATTAACACTCTTACACTCCTATTGATAGTAGGGTAAAAAGGAAATAAAAAGGGTAATTTAAAAATATGTCCAGATAAATAAAAACAAAAATATATCATACTAAAACTTATAGGGGCAGCAAAAGCAGTACTAAGAGGAAAGCTTGTCATGGTAAATGTCTATATTACAAAGAAGTAAGAGTTCAAATTTTAAAACCTAACTGTATGAGCCTCCTCTGTGGCGCAGTGGGTTGAGTGCCACACTGTGAAGCTGTCTGCAGCCTCTGCAGCGCAGGTTCGATTCCTGGCAGGCCAGGGAGAAACCCACATGGTGTGGCAGACCTCTCCTGACTTGCCCGGTGCTCCCCTCAGCAGTGTCCTCGGTCCGTCTGCCTGTTCTGCTCCCCACTCTCTCTGGTGAATTCTCTCACCCTCCCGCACCTCTGACCTATACTCCAGTTCTTGTATAATTAAATAAATCTTAAAAAAAAAAACAAAAAACCTAACTATATATACACTTCCAGGAGCTAGAAAAAGAGCAGCAAACTAGGCCCAAAGTTAAACAGTAGGAAGGAGATAATAAATACAGCACTAAATCTGATAGACCATGCCTCCCTACACCTCTGTTTGCAGGGTGGAGTAAGGAAGGACACACGAGGCAGATATGTTCTTTTTTTTTTTTTAAAGATTTATTTATGCATATAAGAACTAGGTACAGGCGAGAAGTGCAGGGGGTAAGAGGATTCACCAGAGACAGTGGGGAGCAGAACAGGCAGATTGACTGAAATACACTGCTGAGTGGAGCAGTAGGCGAGGCAGGAGAGGTCGGCTGCACCATGTAGGTAGCTCCCTGGCCAGCCTGGTATCGAACTCCTGCTGCAGTGGCTGCCTGTAGTTTCATAGTGCTGTGTTTAAAGTCTTTGTGCCACCAGGGATGCCCCTAAAGAATTCTTAAAGTAATGCTATTTGACATTACTTCTCTTGTTTTGATTTGTTTCCCTTTTTGTTAGGGCAAAATGGAGTATGTCTTTGAATTGGATGTTTCAGGGAAAGTTGAAGATGTTGTGGAGACATTGCTTCAGGTAAGCATTTGCCTTGCTCACGCCTTCACTGGGCAGAAAGTTCAATGCTAACTTGAAATTTTTTAAAATGGAAACTTTTCAACTCAAAGCAAATGGAAACTTTTTTAGAAGTTTTCACATCTTATCTAAACTGTGATCTCCTTCTAAAAAATCAAGCGAATCTACTTAAATATGTTGTGTTTGGAAACTACTTTATAAACAAGCTATATCGGAATCAATCTTAACTGTTAATAAATCACAGAATGATTGTATTTTTCATTGCTTCTAAGGAAATATCTTCATATCATCTGAGAAAAAATAATTTTATGTATATTTATAATATTGTAGCTTCACAGAGCATCCTGCCTTGACAAACTAGGGGACCAAACTGCGATGGTAAGAGTTTCTGAAGATCTGTCTCTTTTGTGAATTAACTTGTATTGGTATTTTACTTATAAATACTTATGCCCGTACTTTTTAAATGGTTCTGTTTAATAGATAACAGCTATTCTGCAGTCGCGTTTGGCTAGAACATCATTTGACAAAAACAGGTAAATTTTTAATGGTTTTGTTTCACACAAAATGTTCACACACTGACCATTTTCATCTGTAGACCTCATTTAGCATGTCCAAAATTAATGTTATCATCTACCACCACCAGCCCCCCGCCAAACCTGCTTATCTTTTTTTTTTAGATTTATTTATTCATGCATACAAGACCCCGCACAGGCCAGAGGTACGGGGCATGAGAGGATTCACTAGAGACAGAGTGGGGAACAGAACAGACAGACTGACTGAAATACATTGCTAAGGGGAGCAGTGGGGGAGACAGGAGAGGTCTGCCATGCCATGTGGGTAGCTCCCTGGCCGACCAGGATCCTACCCGCACTGCAGAGACTGCGGACAGCTTCACAGCACTGTGCTCAACCACCTGCGTCACCAGGGAGGCCCTAAACCTGCTTATCTTAAGGAATGGTCCAACCTTAGTGCAGGAGCAATCTCCAGGGCTCACTGGGTGCTCTTCATCCTGACAGCCGTCAGTTAAAAGGGCCTGTTGACTTATGTTCCCTCCTGTCTTTCTGGTCTGTCAGCTTCTCTCTCTGCACACTGTTGCTGCCTCATTTTATGTCACGGGCCCCGCCCACTCAAAGCACCATCACGACTTTTAGGTTGTCTAAAAGTTGACTCCAGTCTCCTCTCCAAAGTCCTCTTTTCTCCACCATACCTAATATCCTTTTAAAAGGTGAGCACACCTTGGAGATTCACTTCTAGACCACTGTAATGAAAAGAATTTTGCATTACAGCAAGTCACATGAATATTTTGGTTTCCCAGTGTGAGTAGAAGTTATGTTTGTACCATACTATATAGTCTGTTTTTAGCATTATGTTTAAAAACACAAAATACATATCTTAGTTCAATGTGACACAGAAACAAGTGAACAAGTGCTGTTGCAAAATGCTAATAGACTTGCTCAACACAGGACTGTACAAACCTTCAAACTGTAAAAAAGTACAGTAAGGTGAAACAATAAAAAGAGGTATGCCTCTGTGTTGTTCTTTCTAAAGAACTTAATTACATCACTTATCAGTTTAACACTCTTCCAGGCAACCCATTGCATTAAAGATCAAGTCTTAGTCTTGATGTACACAGACCATTTATGTTCTGTCCCTGCTTCTAGTCAATGATTGCTTTTCTTGAATTCTGTGCTCCAGCTCTTTGCCTAATAGGCAGTTCTTAATTGTGCCAAGTCTCTTATCTTTGAACCTTTGTACATATTCCCTGTACCGAGAATACTAAACATTCTTTGTCTTTTGCATCTGATTAACTCTTATTTATCCTTTTCAGTTCAGCTTAGCGATCAGTTCTTTTTTCTGAGCTATGATTCTGAGATAGGAACCCTCCTAAGGTACCCTGTAGGGACCAAGAGTTTGCACTCCTGTTCCAATCTTTTTTCATTGATTTTCTGGTCTTTTTTAAGTCCAGAATAATTTTTCTATAAATAATTATATTTTAATATCTGTTCTCTCATTTTTGCCTTATATTAATTAGAACTGGGCTATCTGTCTCTATCTACTTCTCCAACAGCACTGTACTAATTACTCCATCTTTATGGTAACTCTTGACATTTGGTAGTGCAGGGTTGTGCACCTTGTTTCCCTTCTTAACATATGTCCTCAATGTTCTTGGCCTATGTGCTTCGATACACATTTAGAATCATTTTGTTAATCTCCATGAAAGAAAGCCTGCTGGGATTTGATTGTTAATGCTGACAATCTGTGGTCTTCTATTTCTTTAGGTCTTCTTGAATGCCTTCCCTATAACTTTCCCTATAAAAGTCATTCCTCTTTTGTGCTAAATTTATTTCAATGCTTCTTATTTTTGCAGGTATTGTACATTATATCCAAATATATTTCATTTTCTTTTTATTGTTGATATGTAGAATGTGATAGATTTTTCTGTACTCATTTTTTTTCAGCAATTCTGCTAATCTCTGTAATGAATTCCATTAATTTTTTACCTAGATTCTTTAATATGACAAAATGTTATATATATGAATTATTGTAGTCTCTATTCATTAGAAATCATTTTCATTTTGGATTTTTACATTTAAAATCATTCTGCTTAGGACAGAGTAGTAAATGTTTGTTAAATAGATTCATTTATGGATTATTATATATGAGGCTTTTGCTAGAAGCTTATGTTTATAAAGGAGATTAGTTTGTAATATTTTATTGCTACTCTTTGAGATCATCCTGCTTCTTACCTGGCATTATTTAATTATTCAGTCCTTACAACACTGAAGAACTTAACAGTAAAGCCACTGGACCAATGTTTTTTGTGTTTATGTTAGTTTCTTTTTCTGTTTTATCTCTGTAGCATTCATTTTCTTGGTGACAAGATATATTAGGTAAATGAATTGCTAGGGGAGGGACAGGTTCCATGTTAGGAATGAAAAGAAATAAGCAGAATTAACTTCTTTTGATCACCTCAGACTACATAAATTTTCTAAGTAGCCATTTAGATTTTAATTTGGGGCTACAGCATGACTTTAACTTAAAGTTAAAAGTTGAAACTATAAAAGTTTTAATTTATTCAGACTGAAATGGTGTGCTGAAAAGATTGGTGAAGGAGTTTTTGCAGTGCTAAATGAGATATTCCAATGTTGTATATACTTCCTCGAAAGAAAGAAGATAAACTTTTGCTAAAAGATAAAACTCATATTTCTGAAGAAATGCATTTTATTGAAGAAATAAAGGGGAACTATATTTTTCTGTACTGTTTGTTCTGAAAATTCATATCCTTACAAGTTGAAAGAGTAATATAATGAACACAGATACCCTGTGAGTCTCCAGGTGGTATTAACACTGTCAAATTTGCCTGCTTATACTCTTGCTCATTTGTTTGTTATTTGTGTATATATGTTATATGTATGTGTGTTCATATAATATGTAGCCTGTATGTATATGCGTGTAGATAATGTGTATACAAGTGTATATATGTAGTATATATTTTGGGGGGATCATTAAAAGATATTCTTCCAGGTCCACCAAACTATTAATACTCAATTAGCAATAATTCCATAATATCATGTAATATGTAGGCCCATAGTAATGTTTTTCCATTTTTACCCCAAAATGTCCTCTTTAAAATACTTTATTTTATAATAACATGAGACTTAAAGAACACATGCAAAGATAGTATAAAAGGATTATTTTTTAAACCCACCATCCAGTTCTCTCTGTTGTTGTATAGTTAGTATGTAGATGCTGCCATCTTTTTGGCCACATTCTAGATATGTGATTTTATGGTGCTTCTGAAATTTTATTTGCCATTATTTGTTATTGGTATATAGAAATAGTTTGGTTTTTCCATTGAGATACATACATATATACATACATCCATATACACATATATAAATATTTAATCATTTAATGTGAATAATCACAATTTCATAGAAATCCTCATCGGTTTTATTTCTATTTATTGCCTCATTGTACTGTTTATTTAACATGAGATTGGTGGGAGCAGACAGCCTTAGCTTATTCTTGATAGATGTAAAGGGAAAAGATTTAAGGTTCATCATTAAAGAAGATGTTGTTTGATCTAGATTTTTTATAGATACCCTTTAGCAGAGTGAGAAAGTTTCTTTTTGTTACTGGTTTGTTCAGAGTATTTTCAATAATACGTTTAGAGTGCTTTTTCTGCATTTGGGGTGATCATATTTTTTTCTTTTGTTAATATTATGGACGACATTGATTTTTCAATGTTAAACCAACTTGATCGTGATAGATTATCTTTTTTATATAATGTTGGATTGACTTTGCTGGTATTTTGTAAAGAATTTTTTGCCTATTTTGGTAAGTTTTCTTTTAAAAAATCCTTTTCATCTAAATTGTCAAATTTATTGGTATAAAGTTTTAAATATCCTTTTAATATCAGTACAATTTGTAGTGATGGTCTCTCATTCCATATCTTGATGCTTTCTTTTTTTCCTTTAATGGTATTGCCAGTGGTTTACTACTTTATTAACTTTTTCAGAGAATCAACTTTTGACTTAATTGACCTTTTTTCCTTTCTTTATATTTTATAGATAATTAATTTCCACTTTTTTGTACTTCCCACAAATTCTGATGTGTTATGTTTTCCTTTTCAACTTGTAGTTCTCCTTGTTGTTTCTCCTTTCATTCATGGATTGAATCCATGAAGTATGTTGGTTCACTTCCATGTAGGAATTTTGTTATTATCATTACTGATTTCTAATTTGATCTTCTCTTGGTTCAGAGGATATACTGTATATATTAGTCTTTTGATATTTGTTAATATTTGTTTTATGACTCACCATTTGGTCTATCTTGGTGAATGTTCCCTATGCCCTTGTAACGAATGTGAATTCTGCAGTTGTTGGATATAGTGCCCTATAAATGTCCTTTAGTCCCATTTGGTTGATGGTTTTTCAGGTCATTTGTATTTATTGACTTTTTCTTAACTTGTTCTATCAATTACAAGAAAAGGGCATTAAAATTGTCAATGATGATTATGGAATTGTTTATTTTCCACCTAATTTTTGTCCATTTATGCCTGTGGATTGGGAATAGGCTTATATATTGGGTTGTCGGAAAAATCATGACCTATTCTATCTTTGAAAAACATAGGAAAAAATGCATCAGGACTTTCCTGGCAACTCAGTACATTTAGATGCTTAATGTGTACTTAATTAATTTTTTCATCATTTGTGAAATATCCCTCTTGATCCATATTCTTTGTCTTTATTTTTTCCTAATGTAGCCATGCTGGTTTTCTTATGTGTTGTGGTTAAATGTACATCTTTTTCTGTCCTTTTGCTTTTAACCTGTCTTTATTTTGCCTCAAAAAACATGTACTTTACATGTATAGTTGAGTCTTGCTTTTTATGTAGTCTGATAATCTCTGCTCTTTGATTGGAATATTTATTTTATAATTATGAAACTATTGATACCCTTGGTTTTAAACACACTACCTTAGTATTTATGTTTTTTAGCATCTCATTTGTTATTCATTTCTTATATACTTTCTTCCTGCCTTCTTTTTGCGAAATACAGTATTTTTAAGTATTTCATCTATTCTGTTTACTGTTTAGCTATACTGCTTTTTATCACTTTTATTATTTTTTTAAAGATTTATTTCTTTATACAAGAACCGGGTACAGGCCAGATGAGCGGGAGGGTGAGAGGATTCACCAGAGACAGAGTGGGGAAATCAACAGGCAGATGACTGAAATACACTGCTAAGGGGAGCAGCGGGCAAGACAGGAGAGGTCTGCCGTGCCATGTGGGACCCTCATCAGCCGGTCGAGATGGAACCGGCGCTGCAGAAGCTGCAGACAGCTTCACAGCACTGTGTTCAACCGCCTGCACCACCGGGGGAGGCCATGCTTTTTATCACTTTTAGTGAACACTCTTGAAAATAAAATATGGCATTATACCACAGCATACCTTCACATAATATTATAATATGTATATATATTTTACAACAATATAAGAACCTTCCACCAGTATATTTCTATTTAGCACTTTGACCCATTATGGTCTTGTGGGCCTATGTTAAATTTCTACATATGTCATAAAACCCATAGTGTGTTCTTTTTTTAAGGATTTATTTTTATTTATTTATGCATACAAGAACTGGGGTATAGTCCAGAGGTGTGGGGATATGGTAAGAGGATTCACCAGAGATAGGGTGGGGAGCAGAACAGGCGGATCTACTAAGATACACCACTGAGGGAAGCAACAGGTGAGACAGGAGAGGTCTGCCGCACCATGTGGGTTAGTTCCACTGCCAGGGATCGAACTTATACCCCAGTGGCTGGCGATAGCTTTATAGCACTGAGACTTAACCCTTGTACCATGAGGGAGGCCCCCACATATAGTGTTGTTATTTTTACTTCAGAATCACTAGCTTTTTATAGGATTTATATTATATATATTTGTAGGTAAATTTAAAATACTGAAAAATCCTTTCTCCTTATTCATGTATTTAAATATTTATACTTTCTGGTGTTCTTTTCTTTTTGCAGACCCAGTGTTTCATTTGGTATTATTTCTCCTCAGTCTAAAGAACTTTGTATAGCATTTCTTACAGAGCAGATCTGTTCAAGATGAATTTCTTCAGCTTTGTCTCTAAAAATCTTAATTTTACCTCATTTTTGAAGGGTACTTTTGTTGGATATGGAATTCTAGGTTGACGTTTTTCTCCACCACTTTAAATATTTTTATTTCACTTTGTATCATTGTTTCTATTTTTAAGGTATGATTTTTCTTTGTGCTTATCCTGCTTGGGGATTTCAGAATAACAGGAGCCTACGAATTGATTTCTTTCATCATTTCTCAACCATATTTTCCTTCAATATTTCTTCTGCCTCGTTTCTATATTTTCTCCTGTAATTTTCCGATTACACTTATGTCAATATGTTTTATGTATTCCTTCAGACCTCATTGTACATTCTGTGTTTTTTTCATTCTTTTTTCCATTAGGACATTTTATTGACCTATTTTCAACTTCACTGGACTTCTCCGATGAATTCCTTCTGTTGTTAAGCTTGTTTAATTAATTCTTCATTTTTGTCATCCAGATTTCACTTCTAACAATTCCTTCTGTTTTTTGTTGTTTGTTTGTAATTTCTGTGTGTCTGATGAAATACCCCTTTTCTTCATATATGTTGTCCATCTTCTAGAATGTTTAGCATATTTATTATAGTTACCCTTAGATCTCCTAATCCAACATCTGCATCATCTTCTATTGACTCTTTTCTTATGAGTATAGGTCATATTTTCTTTCTTCTTTGTGTATCTTACATTTTTTTTATTGTACAGGTAGTTTTAAAAATAAATACAGACTAAACTAAGTACTATTTCAGGACAGAATACACACCCTTTATTTTGTAAGTCTACTTGCACTGCAGGCTCTGTCAATATAATCTGTAACAGAGTTAGTTTGAAGCTTTGTTGCAGCTTTATTTAAATTTATGTCCACTGCCTACAACTCTTGAGGGGAGTGATCAAAACATTCTTTAACAGGGCTTGCTTGGTATCTGAACACTTGAAGAATCATGGTAATATTCTTGTGTTTTATAGCTGGGTAACCAGCTTTTTGAACGGGGGAAATTTTGCTCTGCTTTCTGCCCCAGTTAGCATTTTTGTGTCTCTGGGAGTTTTGCTTTCCAGTCCTGACTCTCTCTACTTCTCTAAAGATGTCTTTTCATCCTGCAGCTCTTACCCCCTTCTTTGAAGGTTACTTCTCCTGTTATTCAACCATTGGTTGCTTGACTTAGGTTTCTTTACATCTTCAGCTTTCTGATGGGTTTTTAAAAATAATGAGGATTGTGTAACTTATCTAGCAGGTTTTTGTTAGAATGACAGCTATTCGGATCTCTTTCATATCCTAACTGGAAGTGGAGACTATTCCTATGTTTTTTTTCCTGTTACTTATAGAGATTTCTTTTTGACTCAATTTATTTAAGTAAGTACTGATTAGAGGAATCTTATACAAGGTCACACTTTATCTTCTTAAATAAAGTTAAACCTGGAGAGTGGATAGCCTTCTGATTTTTCTTGCTTCTGTTGAAACATATATTCTCAGATTCCAAAGTGTTTCTGAAAAGCTGCACATGGAATGCAAAGCAGAAATGGTGACCCCTCTGGTGACGAACCCTGGACACGTGTGCATCACCGATACAAACCTGTATTTTCAACCTCTCAATGGGTACCCAGTAAGTAAAATCTACAGATTCAGATAGAGAGCTACGTAAGCACTGCTGTACTCATCTTTAAGTTCTCTTGCCTGTAAACTTCACAATTATAATGTCCTCACATTTTGGTGAGGCTCAATATCACCAACCACTTCCCCAGCATCTGAGTATTTAACAGAACCCCTATGTAGTCCTATGCACACTCACCTGAGTTCGAGTAACTATGATCTATTTTCAGTCTTTTGGGACCACTTACTCTCATTGTTGTGAAAAGAAACCCTGTTCCTCACAATTTTATTTTTTTTTTAAATTTTTATTTGTATTAGTTTTTTAACTGAAGTAATATTGTTTAACAACACACTATTTAGGAGTATATAAATGCACACTTCTTCAAATGTATTTTATCACACCACATCCACCACTAAAGCACCAGTAATCCTCTACCATAGTCCTTTGGGCCTCCTCCCCTTTTTGCTCCCCATCCTCTAATCTCCCCCTTTTGGTATGCTCAAAGGTTTGTTTTGGTTTGTCTTGTCTGTTTCTTTGTTTTGTTTTTGTATATTCTACATATAAGTAAAATCATTTAATATTTGTCTTTCATCTCCTGACTTATTTTGCTTAGCTTAACCCCCTCCAGGTCCATCCATGTTGTTGCAAATGGCAAGATTTCATCTTTTTTATAACTGACATTCCATTGTATGTATTTCCCACATCTTCTTAACTCATTTGTCATTGGGGACTTAGGTTGTTTCCATAACTAGGTTATTGTAAATAGTGCTGCAGTGAACCTAATAGTGCATATTTCCCTTTGAATTAGTGTTTTTGTATTCTTTGGATAAGTACCAAGTAGTGGAATTGATGCAGAAATTCCACTTCTTCTGATTTTAGGGTCATTGAAAGTATGTATCTTTATACTAGGAAGCACTTCTAGAAGAGACTAATGAAATATACTAAGATTGAAAAAACATGGATGTTTTATTTATATCTGCTATATGTATCCTACATGTTAGTATTTCTGTGTCTTCTTAATTCCAAATGAAACTGGTAGATCTGAATCATTCCTGAATGGTACAAGCAGCCCTCTTCTAGATGGGAGAAGTGCGTTAGAGATGCTGTAATGGGCAGCTGTAGAGCAAATACCATGAGGGTGGAAACAGTCTTCTTCTTCATAATGACTTTAGATTTACGAGGGCAGAATGTAAAGATAAACTCAGACTTCTACTAAAACTTGCAGAGTTTTATTGTCTGTCTAGATAAGGCCCCATTTTGGAATGGTACATTAAAGAACAAAATCCTAATACACTGTGATATGCAGCTGGACCATTTGGCAGTCGGCTTAAAGAATAGGAGTGTGTTCAGTGGTAGAAAGCTACAGCCTGGAAATTCTCCAGGTTGGTCTGTGATTATAATCACTAAAACATTCAATATTTTCCCAAATGAAGGATGATGCTAGAACAATTCTGTCCACCAGGTGGAGGGCATTCACTAGTGGTATATAAACTGGCGTGGCCACTGCTGTTACTATGACTTGAGTAAAAACTTGGAAAAATATGTATGTGCCATAGCTTCAGCACACATAGTATGAGCATTTATCATTTCCTCTGCCCCCCTCCCCCCAGGTGAGGCTCCTCAACGAATTTCAAAGCAGGAGGAAAGTGAATGTGGTGCCTTTTAGCCAATCTCAGTGCCTTTTCTAACCTCATCCTTCTCTTACTAGCATTTTAAGACTCTAGAGAAAGAAGAAAATTTTCCTCCTCATAATGAAAGAAAAATTTGAGAACCCAGCTTTATACTCTAGTCATGAGGTTTGAAACACTGTGCTTTTAAGAAGATTAAAAACAGGATTCTAAGAAAACAATGTGTCAGTACTAAGCACATCACTAGTCTATTAAAAAGCAAAAATCCTGAGAATTTATATCAACCCTTTAATATCCCTTGTTGTTCAACAGCTTTGCAAAAACTGAAAAATGCAAAATTGCATCTTTTTTTAACTATCCAGTAGGGGTTTTGGGGACTTTTCCAAAATCTTGAAAAAGGGCAGACCAGAATGAAAAGTACAAATGCCTGTTCTAAGACTTCACTTGTAACTAAAAGACAGCTTCTATTTGTGTCAGAATGTTGATGTTTGAGACTGTCTTTTTACTTTTAAAGAAACCTGTGGTCCAGATAACACTCCAGGATGTCCGCCGAATTTACAAAAGGAGGCACGGTCTCATGCCTTTGGTGAGTTCCATTGGAATGTCAGTTCTAGGTGGACACTTGTCAGGGCTTCATTTTAGCCAGTGATTTACTGACATATAGGACATGTACTGAAAAGTGCATGTATGTTGTTTTACAAGCAAATGGACTCTGAGTTTTTCTGCTCTTTTTTTGGGTGGTTCAAAATTTATAAAGGAGTAACTCCTTTCTATAGGTAAGAAGGCTGTTGGGAAAATGTTTTTGGCTCCAAGAGCAAGGGGATTTGAGTGCCTTCAAGTTTCTCACCTCTGTGTTCTCAGAATTTCTGAGCTTCTCTGGGGTGATGTATGCAGAATCAATCCAGTCCTACTTGCCACTACCCATTCATAGCAGATAAGTCTCAAAGTAAGGTTTGGAATATATTCTAAAATTAACTCTTCAATGGAACTATAGTATATTTATAGCTAACATATTAATTCAACCTTCAGATTCGATGAGAGAGAAATGGATAACATACCCTTTCAAATCATATGGCTAGTTCTTCCCACCATCCCCCTTAATAAACATATATACACACTAATTTACACCGTAGAAATGAATCCCCACTTAAGGGGTGTTTCTAAGGTGTTGTAATTTAGCATTTATATGAATTTATTCTGTGAAGAGTAGCTGATAATTTGGTGTCATTATTAAGGCATTATGGAATTTTAAGCGTCACATTTTTTATGTTTTTTCTTGTAAGATGTAACTATTTTGCTCCATTTTTTTTTAGAAGGTGACTTTCCAATGCTAATGGAGGATTAGGGAGACGTACTATTAAGAATCTTCTCTTTTGGTCATGGAAATACAATTAGAACAAAACAGAAGAAATTAACATTGATTAAGTGTCTACTGTGTACCAATCACTTTATAAACAATATTTCACTTATTTATCATCACAATCACTGTGAGGTAGATTATAGCCTATGTTACTAAGACATTGAGGTTCCAAGAGTTAAGTTCCTGTGTTCCTGCTAGCTAGTAAATGGTGGAAGTCTGTATTTGAGTCTGTATTTGTGCTTTCAAATTTTCTTTGTCTATTCCTGCTTCTCCCAGCCTTGCCAAAACAACATTTCACAATTAAAAGAATTTCAAATTATTTATTGGATGGGTTATTCAATTATCATTTTGTTAGGTCAACATAATTATTTAATTTATAAAGGAAAACTAAATATTTGTGTTTGAAAAAAGGGTGTGATCACATGGACTAACCATTTTTTGAATTTCAAAATTATAGATTTCAGAAAGTTACTATGAATGAAAATATTCAGCAGCAAAAGGGATTTTCAAAGTTTAGCTAAGATATTCTTGGGGAAAATTGTACAAATATGCATCACTGAGTCAAATTTCTAGCTGGAGAATATGAACATAAGATCTACAAATATAAAATCTACAAATGTAATTGAGAGATTTTTGTTAGTTAGGTAACTTACATTGCAATTACAAGACACTTTTTTTCTTCTTTCTGCCTTTTTAGGGCTTGGAAGTATATTGCACAGAAGATGATCTGTGTTCTGACATCTACCTGAAGTTCTATGAAACTCAAGATAGAGATGACCTCTACTTTTATATTGCTACATATCTAGGTTTGGTGTTTACCCTTCCTTGTATCTATCTGTTCATGTGAAGGCAAGTTCAATTGAGTAACTGGGATAAGAGACAAGAGGAGAAAAATGCTATTTCTAGAATTCACCCTTCTGTGGTTCTGCTTATTTCTTCTCATCAGTAACTATAGTTGCTTAAATAGAATTTAAAAACTAAGAAAAATATAAATGAATTTTGATAATAGTTCACTCCAATTGTGTGCTTTTAAAATGTTTAGTAAATATAAACATAGAGCTTCCATATGATCCAGCAATTCCACTCCTAGGTATTTACCCAAAGGACACAGAAACATCAATTCCAAAGAGCACCTGCACCCCTATGTTTATAGCAGCACTGTTTACAATAGCTAAGCTTTGGAAACAACCCAAATGCCCAAAAGTAGATGACTGGATCAAGAAGATGTGGTACATATATACCATGGAATATTACTCAGCACTCAAAAAAGATAAACACATGCAATTTGCAGCAACATGGATGGCGCTGGAAGGGATCATGCTCAGCGAAATAAGCCAAAAAGAAAAAGAAAAATACCGGATGGTCTCACTCATAGCAGGGATCTAGAAAACTTAAATAAGGGACCAGGAAAATGAATATAAGAAAGTGAAAATCAAAATCAACAAAAAACTATGAACCAGAGACACTTTTTGGGGGTGGGGGCGGGAGGGGAAGGATTGGGGTCAGAATGGGGCGTTTGCAATTGTATGGGGGAATATAAAAATAAAATTTAAGATTAAAAAAATAAATAAAAAATAAAAAATAAAATGTTTAGTAAATATAATTTCACTTAAAATACTTTAACAACCCTCATTTTAATAGATTATAAAGAATTCATCTAATTACTTTTATGTCCATTATATCTCATGTTAGTTTATGAAAAACAAGGCTCAGTTTCTTAATGTGAGGCAGTGTTATCTCATATGCTTGTCATCATTCATTGTAGCCTTAATAGCAAACTTAAGAAATATCAATAATACAAAAGGAGCACATGAACCTTTTGTGATCAATATGAGACTCCATTTGTTTTAAATTAACATTATCTCAGTTTTCCATGAAAAATATGAATTTCCTACTTTTATCAGATAATACCTACATTTTTTTCTTCAGGTATAAAAATATTAAGTTGTATGGCTAAATTAAATTATTGTTACCAGTCACAGGTGAATGGAATGATTTTTTAAAAACAGATGTTTGGAATTAATATCTTAATTTTGTTTACTGCTCTAGTGTATAATGAAACCATTTATGAGATCTATAGTTAAGTACATCTTCTCTTAGAAATGAGATTTTTCCTTGAGGAATAGCCAATTTTCATTAAGGAATATACTTTATTTTAGAATAGGTTTAGAATTTTTTTTTTCATTTTATTTTTCTATCTGTAACAAGATAATCATTTAAAAAACTCAACTTTTATGGTGAGTCACAAAATCTCAAGTCAAAGACTTACCATGACCTAAAAGGTCTATCTCATATAAAATCCATTCTTTCTGAGTTTAAGAGAGTTCTAACTGAGCAGAATAAGTGTTTTGACTTGTTTAAACCTTTCCTAGTAAGTGAATAGAGAAGAAACTTGTTAAAGTGGAATCAACAAACAGGTGAATGAGTAAGTTACTAGATATAGCCAGTAAAAAGTTGAAAACAATTTTCCAAACAAAATGGAACAATTGATGCAACCTATACTCTGAAAGAAAAGTTAATCATTGGTGCCATGTATTCTGAGATTCAGTTTTTCCTGTGGTATCTCTGGGGATCATTCTGGTTCTTCCACCTTGAGAGATCTTGTCCTCCTGCAAAATACGTTTTTCTTTGACAGTTTCTTTTCTGATCCTTATTTCTAACATGCATAAGTAATACATAGTACACCTTTTTTAGATCTAAAATTAGGAAACTAAAATATGGTGGTGTTTAATTTCGTAAAAAATGGGACAAGTCAAACTTCACAGGGATCTTGGTTTCTGAATGACTTAAAACTCCAGCACGTTTGGAAGGATTCGTTTCATTTTTGTTTTATATTATACATTTAACCTATGTGATATGTTTTATATCATACATATATATATAATTTTCACTCTGGGTCTTGGAGATACTCATATATAACGGGACAACTATTTGGTGAAGACAAACATTTTTCTTGAAATGTGTTTTCAAAAATGCATTGGAAGGTCTACATTTAAAGCATCTAGTTTTTATATGTTAAATGTAATTTAGCTAGAACTATTTGCCAAGTTCAGCGGCAACCTTGTGTCTCCTCAGAGCACCACGTGGCTGAGCGCACTGCGGAGAGCTACACCCTGCAGTGGCAGCGCGGCCACCTCTCCAACCGCCAGTACCTCCTGCACCTCAACAACCTGGCAGATCGCAGCTGCAATGACCTCTCCCAGTACCCGGTGTTCCCGTGGATAATTAGCGATTACAGCAGTCCAGAACTCGGCAAGTGCCACAGAGTTGCTTCCCAAAGGGAATAAATTCCATTTTAGCATCATGATAATGTTGTCATGTGAACAAGTTAGAACCCATTTTGAATTTACTGCTAAAGATTGTCAGTTTTCCATTTCAATATAGTGGATGTTATGGAAAGTCTGTGTTTTATTTTTCTCCACCATCTTTAATTTTTTTTTAATCTGAAATAATGGTAATCCCATCGTTTTTAAAGGATGCTCAGAAAATATGCACATGATTTTAATCTGGTGTTATTACCTCTACATACCATATTTTGAAATATTTAAATTTCTCACTTTGAGATTTATGTTTGTTTCATTTTATTTTTAAATTCACATTAAACTGTGATTACATCATTCACAAATATTATGTTTTAAACATAACAGAAAATGTTACATAGAAAAAAAAACTTCCTGAAATATTTTTTTTATTTATGCATACAAGAACTGGGGTCTGGGTCAGACTTGCGGGGGCCAGACTCTCACTGGAGTCAAAGTGGGGAGCAGAAAAGGCAGATTGACTGAAATACACTGCTGAGGGGAGCAGTGGGTAAGACTGGAGAGGTCTGCTGTGCCATATGGGTAGCTCCCTGGAGGGACTGAACTCTTGCTACAGTGAGTGCAGATAGCTTCATAGTGCTGACACTTAACCCTTTGTGCCACCAGGGAGGCCCCTGAAAGAGATATTTTAACTTAGTGGTACTGTCAGATTAACCAAAATGTGATTTTATTATAAATTTGTTTTATAATATTTTAAAACTATATATAGTGAAAGATAAATTCCTTTTGAGAAATTCACTAATTAAGCCTTTGTCTTTGAAAGAGTTCAGGTTTTCCAAATGTGATAATATTTATTTCTCTGATAACATATTTAGGTCTCCAGGCCTCAAATTATGCTGTTATCACAAAATAATTATCGGGCCTCCCCGGTAACGCAGCGGTTGAGCGCTGGGTTGCGAAGCTGCCCACAGCCTCTGCAGCGCCGGTTCAATCCCCGGCCACTGGGTGAGGGTCCCACCTGGCACACAGACCTCTCCTGCCGCCCGCTGCTCCCCTCAGCAGTGTACTTCGTCAGTCTGCCTGCTCTGCTCTCCGTTCTGACTCTGGTGAATTCTCTCACCCTCCAGCACTTCTGACTGTACCCAGTGCTTGTATAAATAAATAAATAAATCTTTAAAAAAAAATAATTATCACTTTAATAAAAATTTTAAAGTAAATCTTGATATGAAAATTTAGTTTTTTGTTGCTTTACTTGTAATACAGTTTTTGAGTTAGGTCTTTTAAAAAAAGATTTATTTATTTACACATAGAAAAACTGGGGTGCAGGCCAGAGGTCCAAGGGGTGAGAGGATTCCCAGAGACAGAGTGGGGAGCAGAACAGGCAGATTGACTGAAATACTTTGCTGAAGCACAGTGGGTGTGACAAGAGAGCTCTGCTGAGGCAGTGGTTAGCTCTCCGGCCAGGGATCAAACTCAGTCCACAGCCGTGATAGCATAATAGTGCTGAGATTCTAACTTTTGCACCACCAGGGAGGCCCAGGCTCCCTTTTTATAGGTGTTCTTGGGGTCTCTCTACTGCTCTTATGAGCTCCAGGGGCTTTTTTCTGCTTTGTGGTACTTTTCCACTGCCCCACTTTGCCGCCCCCCTTTAGCAGTGTATTTCAGTAGATCAGTCTGTTCTGCTCCCCACTCTGCTTCTGGTGAATCCTCTCCTCTCCCACAGTTCTCCCCCCACCCCCGCACCTCTGGCCTACACCCCAGCTCTTGCATGCATAAATAACTAAAAATAAATAGTTTTTTAAAAGTGTGCCTGTTAATGAGTTTAGGTCAGTGTTCCTATGTCTGAATTTGCTTGCTTTATTTTTCGATTTTTATATTTCTTTATATAGATCTGTCAAATCCAGGAACTTTCCGGGATCTTAGTAAGCCAGTAGGGGCCCTAAACAAGGAACGACTGGAGAGACTACTGGTACGTGGGTTTAGAGATTCTTGGTTTCTAACCTGCATCATGAACCATGGACTGTTTTTTTCAGTTGCTGAAGATCATGTCTCTAGACTTAGGCAGGTGCATCAGGAATGGCACAAGGATCTATACCATGTTTTTTTCTAGTTCTCCCACTACTGGCCCTCATGAATTTAGCTGCTCACCATTTGCACTTTGCCTATATGGCAGGAACTGGGAGACTTGATTGTACTACAAATTTACTGACTTATTTTCACGAAAGTGCTTTCCAGTAAATTCCACAAGAGACACACAAAATTGGATCTACTTAATCCATCCTAACATTATTACTACTGAGTCAAGAAAACCAAATACATGTCACAGGAGGCTTTATGGATGAAATTTTGTTTTTCCTCTTTTCATCTCATCCTATTCAAGTTAAGAAAGAAATTAAGAAATTATATATATATATATATATATACACACACACACACACACACACACATATATATATATGCCATGATTTCTTTTAGGCTACATGATTTCTTTTATTACTACTTGAGCCACTTACTATATTCATAACCAATACTTAGCTGTATTTTTCTTCCATACATCATAGACACGCTACCAGGAAATGCCAGAGCCGAAGTTCATGTACGGCAGTCACTACTCTTCCCCTGGCTATGTGCTCTTTTACCTTGTTAGGATTGGTAAGATTATTTATCACCACCCCAAGTAAATGTCATTCATGTGAATTCTTTCACTGACTCTGTGATTTCACTTAACTGATCTTTCCCCCTCTAGCGCCAGAGTATATGCTGTGCCTACAGAATGGAAGATTTGATAATGCTGATCGAATGTTCAACAGGTTTGACATACATGCTTCACTTACTATTTTTAAATTCTCTAATTATAAGAATTTTTTTTAAGATTTATTTATTAATGCATGCAAGAACTGGGGTACAGGTCAGAGATGTGGGGGGTGAGAGGATTCACCAGAGACAGAGTGAGGAACAGAATAAACTCTCTAATTATATGTGTGTAATATTTAAAAAAATTAGGGATAAGCAAAAATATAAAGAAATGTAAAAAAATCACTAATTATATCTATACCTTTCAGCCTTTTTCTAGTCATTTGTGTGTCTTTGTGTATGTATAAATGTGAGAATTTTTAAATGCAATTTTTTTAATTCTACCTTTTGCAACCTCATATTAGATTTTGTTCTTTAAAACTGAGGTATTTTTGTATCACTTCCCAACCTAAGCAATAGTTCATTTCAACTGCTTATTTCTCTATTGTAAGAATTTAGGTTGTTTCTAATATTTCATTATTCTAAATAAGTCTGCTATGATTTGAATATAACTCACCGTTATATCACCTTTGTGCCTTAACTTTTAAAGCACCTTTGTGCTTTAACTTTCAGTGTTAAAGCACATGCCTGTTGTGGCTTTGTGATAGGACAGTGTGTGCGTGGAGATCCTGGCATGGATTTGGAGTCACTTCATCTGGGTCCATGTCCAGCTCCCCACCCATTCCAGTGTGACTCCAGAGTAGTTTTCTCTAATTACATGATTGACATGTTATGAATTAATGAGACAGAAATAAATTAAAAAGAAGAATGAGGTAGTATAGAACAACACTGAGGTGAAGAAAGAGCACCACTGTTGCTGTTTCCACCCCCTAGGGTTGAAATTGGTTGACTTTTTTCTTATTTAGCATTGCAGAAACTTGGAAAAACTGTTTGGATGGCGCAACAGACTTTAAAGAGGTAAGCAGTTGACAAAGCTAATGACTCACTGGTCTTGTGTTTTCTAACTCCTGTAAAAAAAATGTGTTGTCATTTTTTTTTTCCTGTGACTTTCAGTTAACTCCAGAATTCTATGGTGATGATGTAAGCTTTTTAGTTAATAGTCTGAAGTTGGATTTGGGAAAGAGACAAGGAGGGCAGATGGTTGATGATGTGGAGCTTCCCCCTTGGGCACAGAGTGAGTACCACCTTAGATTAAATGATGGAAATTCTTTACTTGCTAGCACAGTTTCAGTATTATTAATTAGTTACCTAGATTTAAAAAAAAAAATAGCAGTATAATTCTCAACCTGAGTCCCATTCCATATCGAAGCATTCTGTGAGTCTGTGATGTCAAAAATCAGTATGTGAGAGACCTAAATGTTTCCTTTCACTTTCCTCCTTCAATAATTTATATTAAAGGGGGACAATCTCATTAAGAACTATAGATGTATCCCTTGCCTGTTCTAGAAGCTTTCTCTACAGATGGATAGACAAAAGAAAAGTGAGAATATGAAATGGAAACTCATGTTTTAATCAAGTCTGATCTAATAGGTCCCGAGGACTTTCTCCAGAAGAGCAAAGATGCCTTGGAAAGCAGCTATGTGTCGGAGAACCTTCACCAGTGGATTGACCTAGTATTTGGCTATAAGCAAAGGGGTGATGATGCCGTTGGTGCCCATAATGGTAGGTCATCTTCACTGAAATTGCATTTAGCATATGATGAAAACAATGCACCCAGAGTAGCCAAGCTGTTGCTTCAGAAGTGTATGAAATCAGCAGTGTCAGTCGGCTCAGAGACCCTGGATTAGACCCTGAGTAACCGAGGAAAAAGTACTTTAGCCTAAAGAATACCAACTTCACTATGGTACCAAAAGTCTTTTTCTAAACTCTTCTAATTTTAGTATGTACTCTCCATCCCATTCAAAAATTTCAATTAAAATTCAGTCAGAATAGGGGCTTCCCTGGTAGCGCAGGCGGTTGAGCTCAGCGCTGTGAAGCTCTCTGCAGCCTCTGCAGTGCCGGTTAAATTCCCGCCGGCCTTGGAGCAACCCACATGGCAAGCAGACCTCTCCTGTCTCACCTGCTGCTCCCCTCAGCAGTGTATTTCAGTCCATCTGCCTGTTCTGTTCCCTGCTCTGTCTCTGGTGAATCCTCTTACCCTCCTGTGCATCTGGCCTGTACCCCGGTTCTTGTATAAATAAAATAAATCTTTAAAAAAAAAAAAAAACTCAATCAGAATAAGGTTAAGCAGTGACCTGAGTTCCTCTGAAGGGTCTCAGAGTTTCTTTTTAGTTGAGCAAAAAGCATGTAAGAAGCCAGCAGCAGTACACCTCCCCTTCAGTTTCAGCTCTTACCTGCCTCCTGGTTTGTCAGCATTGCCACAGAGGAGTACAGCTGCACATTCCGGTGAGGTTCCTCACACAGAAGTGCAGAGTGGTTCTGCTCCTCCTAAGGGGAAATGATGCTGACTAAGGAGTACACTGAGATAGCAGGTTGCCGAGCTACCTGCTCAGCAAGAGATAACAATTTAAACGGATATTTACTCAAGTTGGCTGTTAGTCTGCTTGCAAAGTGAAAATCATTTTCTTTGAATAAAGGTTTAAAGTGTTTGAATTGTTTAAAATCTGAACAGTGTATGCATTATAACTAAACAGCACATCTTTCAACTGTGTTTTATATCTCTCTTTTCAGTGTTTCATCCCTTGACCTATGAAGGAGGTGTAAACTTGAACAGGTACTTATATATCTCTAAGGAAATTCTACTTGGATTACAAAATAGCTCTTTATTTAAGTTATATTAATGCAGTTATTTGATGATGTTAAAATGAGGAAAGTTTATAATTCATTATATCTTGCTTTTACCATTATTGACGTTACTGAGCCTCAGGAAATTATTTAAAGATCGATGATGAGGCTTAGAGTTGTTATTACTGTAGCAGGGTCAGTCTCTTTCCTATGATCTGTGTTATTGGAAATGCATGTTTTCAGGGAACTTGAGCCCAGTAGTTCACTGCATTATTTGTGTTCTCTCCTAAAGCATTGAGGATCCTGATGAGAAAGTAGCCATGTTAACCCAAATCTTGGAATTTGGACAGACACCAAAACAACTGTTTGTGACCCCACATCCTCAGAGGATCACACCAAAGTTTAAAAGTGTTTCCCAAACCTCCAGTTATAATACTTCCATAGCAGATTCTCCAGGTAAAGTTTGTAAGGAGAATAAATGTGAGCACCTTTTGTCTTTTTTGTGATAAAGATGTTTCTGAACTTCTGAAGCATGAACTGCTGTGCTAAGAGATGATTGTGTTTTCCTGTCTAATTGTGGTTTTCCTGGGGGCGGGATGAACACCTGTCTTATTTTGTTGTTTTGTTTGTTTTTAACTATTGGCTTTAAAGGAAATCTAATCATTTTCATTTTCCTGTAATCTATTATGCAATGTGGCAGAATTTTTTGTTACAGTTCTTTCTTTTTCATTGTTTTTCCAAACTGGTGATTGATTCTTAGCTCTTCACTTTTTCATATTGACATGTCCCAGCTATGGCTGTTTTTTTGTTACCATCTTCTCCACTCTTTCCTACTCCTGCCCAGAAATTCTTCCATCCCTAATTCTCCTCTCTCACCTCCACATACAAATCTGGAGCTAATGGGGTTCTTCTTTCTTTGATTCTGTTTTCTTATTCAATCATGTAACAAGTATTTACAGAGTATCTGTTCTGTGCCTGTCATATGGGGGGTACTAAAATGGAGCTTGACTCTGTTTTCACACCTAGTATTTAGGAAAGGGGGAAAGCACACACACCTTCATCTAATTATCCATGTTTTTCATTTCACTTAAGACTCTCATGGAAGAAATCTCACTCTGTATGGAACCTTGGGACAAAATCACTTGATCAGTAGTATCTCCTATTCTGCTATCTGTTCCAGACACATGTGGGCTTCTTCAGCACACATGACTAAGCACTCTGGCAAGCACAGAATAGTTTGCTGGAATCAGTGACCCAGAGCTAGCTGGGAGTACTTCTCTAGGAAGTAGTTGTCCTAAGGGGTTAAGTCACAAAGACCATACCTTGTGATGCCACTTAGCCCGTGGTCTGCTTAGTCACCAGCCCCATATCATTGTCTTGTGATGTTTTAAAAAGGTGATTGTTATAGCCCTTCTTAAATCACAAGCGATTAGATAGTCCTATCCAAAAGTACTTACAGTAATTCATTTTATCTCTCTTGTTTTTTAACTCCCCCTCAAAACTGAAACAGAACTACAGCCTTTTTAAGCAACTGTTAGTTTTTTTCTGAGATTACCAGTGAGGAAATGCTTGCTCATTCTTATAGTTCCAGAATTTCCTAAGTTAAGGACCAAGTGAAAACATCACAAACATTCATAAAAGTATGAAAAGAATGTAGTATTTACAGATACTTTTTTATCTTTCTCCACATGATTGCTTTATTAAATTATATACTTAATGTTTTTCCTTGGCCACTATGGGGCTATATAACAAGTACATTTTAAGTCATTTTTATCTTGGTGGGGGATTTTGTTTTCTTCCTTGTTTAAATTTAATAAAAAATATTGTGCCTCTGATGCTTGTGAGTAATTGAGTTGACTCACTTAGCAACAATCTAATGTAGTCTCTCCAGGTGAAGAGTCATTTGAAGACCTGACAGAAGAAAGTAAAACCCTGGCCTGGAATAATATCACCAAACTGCAGTTGCATGAACACTATAAAATCCACAAAGAGTAAGAATATCTCTGCACCATCCTCACAAAAATTAGGGTTATGACTTTGGGTGAAGCCATTTTAAGTTAAGGGAAAGGTTCCTTTTCAGTGTTGTCTTATTTTCTGCCTTCCAAAATATCTATAGTGATTACTCAGCTGCAGTCCATGTGGTAAGGCAAAGTCCACAAAAGGATTTGAGCTGACCTGCCATGCTGTCACTGCCACATCTGCTGTTCTAGAGCATGAGGTGGGGTTTACAGGCATAGCAGGTAGTTTTGTGCCTCTCAAATTGGGGTACCTGCTCTCTTTGATGGTGTGAGGCCATGGGAGAAATATGGTATAGTTTTCCCAACTTTTGAATTTATAGACTGATATTATAGGGAAATTATATCTTTTAAAAAATGTTAACAAACATAGAGAAGGGAGTAGATTGCAAAGTTCATGAATTTTTAAAATAATACATATAACATCCTAGAAATCAGGCTTGCTGTCTGTCCCAAAGGGGTTATGAGTGTTCCCTGTCTTCTATCCTTAAGGGTGATGATGTACTTTGATAGAAAGGCTTGAGAAGCACTGACATCGCCTTCTCGTTCCGGTTACAGATAAGAAAACCCAGGTCCAGAGACAAGACCAGTTGTACTGCTTCGACAGCATAGCTTCCTAAAAAGAAATGAGTAGTTCCCTCTAATTCATTATGACAATAGTTTTTTTCTTCCCAATTCTTTCTTTCCTTCTTTCTTTTTTTTTTTTTTTTTAAGATTTATTTATTTATGCATTCAAGAACCAGGGTACAGGCCAGATGTGCAGGAGGGTGAGAGGATTCACCAGAGACTGAGCAGAGAACAGAACAGGCAGACTGACTGAAATATACTACTGAGGGAGTAGCGGGCAAAACAGGAGAAGTCTGGGCCTCCCCTGGTGGCGCAGGCAGTTGAGCGCCGCGCTGTGAAGCTGTCTGCAGCCTCTACAGCACTGGTTAAATCCTGGCCGGCCGGTAAGGGTCCCACATAGCAAGCAGACCTCTTCTGTCTCGCCTGCTGCACCTCTCAGCAGTGTATTTCGTCAGTCTGCCTGTTCTGTTCCCTGCTCTGTTTCTGGTGAAGCCTCTCACCCTCCCACGCATCTGGCCTATACCCCGGTTCTTGTATAAATAAATAAATCTTTGAAAAAAAAAGAGAGGTCTGCTATGCCATGTGGGTAGCTCCCTGGCCGGCCAGGGATTGAACGTGTGCTGCAATAGCTGCGGATAGCTTCACAGTGCTGTGCTTAACCCACGCCACCAGGGAGACCCTCTTCCCAATTCTTTAAATGGCACATAGAAAGGAGCCTTGTAATTCAAGTCAAGGAAGGCATGAATTTTAACCTTTCAGAGGACGTGCTAGAATGAGACAATGATATCATGGAACAGAGCTAGGTAAATTCAATTCAGTAATGAAGCAAGTGATGTGATTATAAAGAGGATTTTTAGTCATTTTGGTGTTGTCCAGTAAGGTGGAATTGAAGAAGCATTACTAGTTTTCCAACTACCAGAGTGGTAAATTGGCATCTGGCAAAGCTAAGAGAAGGAATGTTTTCTGGCCACAGTTATTGCCAAAACATGAGTAGAAGTGACCAAGCAGTTATATATTGGCAGGTATATGCAGGGACAGAACTGGCAGACAGCTGTGAAGAAAAAATTGGTAAAATTAAATACAGCATTTGAAACAGACCAGTGTCCTACCTAGTATGTGGTTGATAATAATTTATAAAACTTTGTTTATAAACAGGGCAGTTACTGGAATAGCTGTCTCTTGCAATGGGTCTTCAGTCTTTACAACATCTCAAGGTATGTGTTTCTACCTAAAGAGTGATTTACCTAGAATCATAAAGTGTGTGATTTCCACTCAGTCAAGTATTATACTTGCATGTGCTGCCTCCATATAAAACAAATTTTGAGCAATCTGTGGCATATTACATGCTATTTTATTTTACTTTGACAAAAACAATAATGAAATGCCTTTCTGTTGCTGATAATTCCCCCAAATTTAAGGGCTATGACAGAAAGATCTTGTCTCCCAATCTCTTGCTTGTAAGGGCCTTTCCCCTTGCTGGGAGAGTTCTGTGTGCCGGCCGCAGTTGTCTGTGAGCAGAGAGAAGGGGCAGAGGGTGGCAACAGCTTTGTCTGACATGGGCACCTTAGACAACGCAGTGTAGAGGGTAAACATGCAGATTTGCTGTCTAGTTTTTTGCTTCTGTTATTCAGTATATAATTCAGGGTGTCTATGGTAGACTGCTCAAAATCTAATTCATACATTGTTCATATGCTTATACATTATCAAAATAATGAAAAACTCCTATAGTAGCTAGTTGATATGACTTGTTTCTGACTATATTGATCTTAAAAAGGACTAAGCATAAAACTTCTCTTACTATATAGACATCATTGCTTTCCCTGATAGTCTATATCATATGTTAAAGGATATCTTCTCCCTGTTACATTCAGGTCACCGTGGTAGGGCTCTTGAAGGTGTGAAGGTGAAGAGTAATGTCTCAGCTCTCCTGCTTAGGTTTTCAGACAGCTTGTTTTGACAGAGTTAATAGCTGACTGTTTCTGGGGCTACTTGATGTTTGGTCTTTATCACAGGCAATTATAATTTTTAGCCATTAAGTTAAGAAATGGTGCTGATCCAACTAAGCACTTCTAGTTAAGTCAGTTATCCCCTCAGATTCTGTAATAGGTTTATTATCTGCGTCATAGATTCCTTTCTCTTTGAAATGTTATCTTAGAATTCATGAAACAATTTTCCACAAAGAATAAAAAGTCATTCTACTGTGGACCAGAGTAAATAATTCACACCCAGTTCAGTCGGGGTCACTAAGATGATGTTCTGAAAGAAGGAACACCCGTGTTTGCCAAGATTCTTGTTGGGTTTGCAAGCATAATACAAAGCAGAATGCTTTCTCTGTAAGCAGTCTGTGTTCTTAGCTGAATTTGTCTGTAGCACGGTTTGTTAATCCTTAAGTTTGTCGTGCTGTATAACCTTGTAAACATGAGATCTGGAAGAATCGGGGCTTTACACCCCTGAGACTTACTCAGCATTGTATTGCTTTTTTATGAATTTGCCAAATACAAAGAGTTGCTTTCTTTTCAAGATAAAAACTTTTTTTTTTTTCCTGTTCTTCTCACTTGTAAATTTTAATACTTTACAATACTGGTTTATATGTATTCTGATCATCACCCCAAGTTACATTTCTTCCTCAGATCTGCAGTTTCTGTTTAGCTAGGAGAGCAATTGTGGGGACGCACCGCCTGAGACTAGCACTCGTGGCATTCTTTGATAGGATCCCCACTAGCATAGGGAGGGAGTGTGATTTAAAGGAAAGCACCTTTACAGACTGGGCTGGCGTACGGTACAGTAGGATGCATGCCCAAAGTTAATAAGCTTGTGGTAAATACTCAGAATTGCCTAGTAGAAAGGACATCTATTGAATCAAAAGCAAAGTTAGGAAGAATATCAGAATTCATCATACCCACTAGAGAAAAGCTCAGGTGATATTGTACTTATTCTCCTGGTGTTTTTTTCAAGCTAACGCTGGAGAATGTCTTATTTAGATTGATGTTCAAGTCTCAAGACTTTGTTGGTATTATAAAAGTTAGGTTAAACTATTAAGTTTGTGCAGAAGAAATTAAAGTTTGGTTTTGATATTTTACTTATGTTGTATGTGTACAAATTTAGACATGTATTATTGTATATTTAAAATGTGGAATGTTTGGAGCATATTGTGATTTGCAAGACTTGATTTTTTCATTTTAGTTTTTTATTGAATTATCATTGGTTTACATCATTGCTAATATTTTGAAAGTATAGGAACCCCCACTTCAGGTACATACATAAGAGTTGAATTGCTGGGTCATATGGCAGATCCATTTTTAAACTTTTGAAAAACCTCCATGCACCTTTCCATCGGGGCTAGACTAGTTCATATTCCCACCAGCTGTGTAAAGGGGCTCCTTTTTCTCCACACCCTCACTACCCCTTGTTTCTGGTCTTTTTGATATGGGCCATTCTCACAGATATGCGATGGTATCTTGTTGTGATTTTGAGGTTGTAGTGAACAATTTTGAAAGCCTCTCTTAGGCCAGGACATTAAAAGCTTTGACATTTTGATTGCTAGTTTATTGTCTACAAAGTTAGTGGTTTTTTTTCCTGTAAATGCTAATTCAGCATAAGAATTGGACGGTTATTGTTTAAGGAAAACTTACATTGCCAACATCTTTTTGTTTTCCTTAATATTAGAATTGCTATTTTATTCTTCCAATCTTTGGCTTATATCAATTATTTAGGCTTACCTCTGCATTCATTCATGTTGAAATATCACCGGTACTCCTTGTCTGCACAGGATTTGAGATTTATTTCCTTGTAATACAGAGACTAGATCATGGAGTTCTACTGTTGGATGAGGCCTTAGGTCATCTGGGCCCACCACCCCCAAGACTCCTCAGGAGTCTACTGCCTGTTGTCCTAAAGAGCAAGATGGGAAGCCATCTGTCAACTCTAGGGCTCAGGAAGTCTTTCTGATATATTTCCTTTCTCATTATTAAATTAGATTCAACCTTGAAGATGTTTTCTAAAGAATCTAAAATGCTACAAAGAAGTATATCTTTTTCTAATATGGTAAGTTTATTTTAATTTTAAATGTGTTATCAAAGAAATTCATGTAACTGTTTTATACACACACATATAATGATATTCTGCTTCTTCCAAAACAATTAGTTTATTTCTTTGTGATAGCTACAGAATGCCTTAATTAGATCACCTCTACATAAAATTTATATTTTTGTAGGTTGCCTCTTTCTCATAATATTGTGATTTCCCTTATAGCCTAAATGGAAGAGTTACCTAGTAGAATTCTCCTCAATAAATCATTCCTTTTTTGGAACTAACAGACTAAATGTTTATGGGCTACTTATACTACTTAACACATGTTTGCGTTGGTAGGATGCCTAATGTAGAAAACCAATTTCTGAAAAAACACGTTAATATAAATCATCTGAGAGATCTTGAAACTCCCTAAAGCATTTTGGAGGTTTTCCTTACCCACATAGGTCTGTGAGCCAGAGAGGGTCTTGTATTTGTGAGGTTCACCCCTAGCCCACTCTCCCCCACGAGAAGTACTCAGCGTTGATAGGAGTCCCTCCAGTGCAGGGCAGGAAGGACCTGGAAATCCTCAGGCTAGATCCTACTGCATCTGGCACACTTTGACCTTCTTTCCTACATTTGGGAGACGACTGGGCATCTGAAATTAGCCAGTTGAGAAAACTTGGCAAAATATGAGGAATGCCAATATCTCCAGAATTTTGAGCATTAATTTTAGGGGAACTGAAAAAACAGCTAGTTTTACTACGTTAGGAATTTGCTAATGTAAATTATTAGTGTGGAATCATTTGTATTTCAGGCTCTATCATCCTGTTTACTTCTACCAGGAGATGCCACTGTCATAAGTTCTTCATGGGATAATAATGTGTATGTATCTTTGTCTGCACAACTTTGTAATTGCACTTGCAGTGTAACTACTATTGTGGATGTGAGGCAGGAAAAGACAGAATCGTTGGCAGGTTACTGTATTGTTTTCAAAAAGGAACAGATAATAGGAGATGAGGACAGTACTGATGGATTTGAATATGATTATTTGAATCTACAGTCTCCAATTGGAGTTTTTTTCTTTAAGTTTTAAATGGAGTTAAACAACACAGATGAACCAACCAGACCTGGAAACGTCTAGTTTTATTTATTTATTTTTTAAATATTTATTTATTTATACAAGAACCGGGCTACAGACCAGATGTGCGGGAGGGTGACAGGATTCACCAGAGACAGAGTGGGGAACAGAACAGGCAGACTGATGAAACACACTGCTGAGGGGACTAGCAGGCGAGACGGGAGAGATCTGCTGCGCCATGTGGCGCGGATAGCTTCACAGTGCAGTGCTCAACTGCCTGTGCCACCAGGGAGGCCCACTTCTACTTTTAAATTCAGATTTTGAGTATTTTGGTTTAATAACATGACAAGTAATATATAATTCTACTGATACCTAGTAAGTATAGAATTGATGTTTCCTGAGTATGTGTTTTAAGAGTCTTAAAATTGAGCTGGAATCCTGTTCTGATCATTCTTTTTATCTTTTATTATGTTAGCTATTTCTATTCCATAGCATTTGGAAGATGCCAAGACACATTGATGGGACATGATGATGCTGTTAGTAAGATCTGTTGGCATGACAACAGGCTATATTCTGCATCATGGGACTCTACAGTGAAGGTTTATATATAATTTCTAACTTAATACAAATTGGGGTTATACAAACATTATAAATCATTCAACTACATATTATTGTATTCAGTCACTTCACTGTATATGACAAAGATGTTAAGTTATATGTAAGAATATTGAATTTTATTGCCTGTGGTTTTTTTCAATATGTGCTCTTGCTAATAAGTTCATTAGACATTAGATAGCAGGGTTACAGAGAAATGTGTAATATCAGTCCTTAGGTAACATGATTGGAACTAGTAGTTGATCAGAAAAATTCAAGTTAACATGGGGAATCAATAAAAGATGGAGCATTTTATTTAACGTTAGAACATACAAATGGACATCCATTCGCCATTCTATTATGTAGGGACATTCTTACCATTTTCTTTACAATCCTACACAATTTTCCTGCATAGACGACACATGCATTCATCATCTTCACTTTCTGATATGTGTAAAAGAAAACCATTAAAATTTCTTAGTTTTTCAGAATCTCTCCCCCATTGTTCTAGATCTTCCCTATATCTGATTTCAGTAAATTTTTGGTAACTTGCCATTTTTTTAGTCTTCTGAAAACATTGACACTACACTTCTACACACATAATCCCTCATCCACACAAAAAACTACATGATTACAATAGCAAGTACAAGTAATAGAAACACACAGGTACAAATGGTGGACACTTGGTAGACACGTGGTGGCAGCCATGTGCCAGGGGAGGAGCCAAGAGTACACGGCAGCTGCTTTTTGTTGGCAATTATGTTAAATGCAAGTTGGTTAGTCAAGAGAGTTTTTCCTGAATGTGTGAGAAATGTTGTTCTTATAAATGTTTGAAAATGGCCTCTGCAATATGTTCCAATCCAGGTGTGGTCTGGTGTTCCTGCAGAAATGCCAGGCACCAAAAAACACCAGTTTGACTTGCTGGCTGAGCTAGAACATGATGTCGGTGTGAGTATCAACAACAAAACCTTTCAAAAGCTAAGTTTAAGTGTGGGGTTACAAGGTGGAGATTCTTGGTTTTGTGTATTTATGATCTTTTTTTCAAATTTTGCTTACTGGAAGCTATCAAATACTCTGTTTTGTTGAGTTGACTGCATTTCCAAGTCTTGTCTTTTGTTCTGCAGTTTGCTCTTTCTCTGAGAATTAGCTACTATCCAACTAGATTTCCAGAATACCAGTTTTTGAGCATGACAGTGAATAGTTGGATATCTTAAAACTATTTGGGGCAAGATTGGGCACATCATCTGTCCCGTGTTCTGACACCGAAGGTGAAAGGGACCATCTGTGTAGGATGACACCCACCCAACAGCTGAGGACACTGACTTGATACCCAGGAAGCAGCCTGGGGCAGAATCAAGGCTGGCACTTTGTTCTTTTCACTTGTTCTGTTTCTACAGGGTCACATTGTTGGATTTTCTGCAGTTTTCAGTACTGCCTTTCTCTAAGGTCACAAATAGCTGTCTAATTTGCATTTTTGATAGACTGAGATTGAGAGATAATATTCAGTGTGTGATTCAAGATGGGTCTGCAGGTATAACCTGGAGAGATTTCCCTTATCCCCATAATCCCTCAAATATCATGGATCAGACTTGACTCCAGGAAGTCTGGCTCCTAGCCACAAATTATTATTCATGAAGTTTTAGCTCTTTGAGACTGTGAATTTTAGGCTATTTTAAAAGTGTTATATTTATCATAGCAATAATTCATTATATCACCAACATATCAAGTATTTTATTTTTAAATAATCATTCAGTACGTGATGTTGCAATGCATGTGCAGTAACTGTACCACTGTATCCATGTATTTGAATTGGCCTAGGACAATATAGCTAATGACCATACTTCTAAATGCAGTACTTAACAGTGTGTTTTCTTTCTTAGGTAGATACAATCAGCTTAAACGCCGCAAGTACACTGTTGGTTTCAGGCACCAAAGAAGGCACAGTGAATATTTGGGACCTCACTAAGGCAACCATCTTGCACCAGATTTCATGCCATTCAGGGACTGTATATGATACTGCTTTTAGCCCAGGTAGTTTTTAGTACAGAGGATACCAGGGGAAATTGTAGTTATTTTCATAATACAAACAACAAAAATGTAAAAAGAAAAAACACTCTTTGCTTATAAAAACTTTTGCCTATATCTAAGGCTGCAGAATTTGTACCTAGTAGAAAAGCTATGTTGGATAGTTATTAATTTGTCAACTCACTAAATAAATCTTAAGATACAAATGAACTCATGACCAAATAGTCATAGCATCCTAGTATCTCAAATATTTAAAGACAGGAAGTCTTTCACTGAGTACAGATAGCTCAAGGAAATTGCAAGTGGCGATTAAGCCACTGAATTCAGAAATAAAAATTTCAGTCATCTAAAATACACATCTCAAGCTATAACCTGTATCTGCTTCACCTCGTGTTACAGATAGTCGCCATGTCCTCAGCACAGGAGAAGATGGCTGTCTAAATGTCATAGATGTGCAGACAGGAATGCTCATCTCTTCTTTGCCTTCAGATGAGCCCCAGAGGTATATCTTCTTGAGTTACTAGTGGTGAAGATGTTTACAAGCTCACAATCAGATCATGTCATCTCTGCTTGCACTGACATGTGAGAGAACCCTTTCTGCATGATAATTGTTTTTGAAAATATTCTTGCAGATGCTTTGTCTGGGATGGAAATTCTGTTTTGTCTGGAAGTCAGTCTGGTGAACTGTTTGTTTGGGACCTCCTTGGAGGAAAAATCAGTGAGAGAATACAGGGCCACACAGGTGAGCAGTTATGCAGTTCTATCTCATTCTAAAACACTGAACTCAAACCTGTCTCTCCCATCAGGGAGTAACTCCTCTGAGCAGAAACCATTCCCATGAGCTACCCGTGCTGGAACATTCCCTCCAGCATTGGTTGGCCAGGTAATCTGTATCTCTTGGGTACTTTAGGATTTAGATTTATGTTAACAAGACTTCCAAAAGGAATTTTCTACATAAACTTCCATGTAGAGAATTGAAAAACATTGTAAAAGCTGTAATCAGCTTTTTAAAAAGATAATATACACCCAGAATGTTTTGAGAAAAGAACAATACAAATGTAATGAATTACAGTGAAAACTAAATCTTCCCCCCACACCAATTCCTACTTCCCAGTTTTTAGACAACTTTCTCTAGTTTATTTTTGGGATGCATGTCCTTTTATTGATGAGAGGATGTGTTTGTAGTGTATATAAATGTTCTGCCCCTTGTTTTTATCATTTTGAACATTTGCATATTTTCCTCCTATCTGGAGGATTTATGAATTTTAATTCTTCTGTTACAGTTGTAAGTAGTTACCTCCAGTATGAGCAGTAACTTCCCACCTTTATTTTCTTCCCCATTTTATATTTTAATATTAAAATGATATGCCTATGCTTTTCCCTTCAACTTACAAGTTTCAAATAACATTTGACCCTCCTTCCAATAAAAATGGAAATAGGAAACTTACACTAATTCACTTGCTCCCTTCTTGTGTTTTTTGACTTTTGTTGCAGGGGTGTATAACTATTAGCATTTTGCTCTGTCCCCATATCTCCCAGTCATTTTGGCATTAGTTTTATGTTGAAATACTTTCTTATTCTGTAAATGTCCCTTGTAATAAACAACAAAGTTTTATTTATTGAAAGAATGAGACAGTACAACATAGTATTTACCAGTGTATCTTTGGGGACCTCCTGTTAACTTACTACCTAACCATAGTGTCTCTTTCTCCCAGGTGCTGTGACATGTGTATGGATGAACGAACAGTGTAGCAGTATCATCACAGGAGGGGAAGACAGACAAATCATGTTCTGGAAATTGCAGTATTAAGTGCCTTTTCCTTTCGAATATTAAATTGAACTCTATTTAATGTATTTTTAAGCCAAACTTTTAAGTGAACTGGTGAATGTGCAATGATAGTAATTAGAAGTTTTACCACTGTGGTTTTAAGCCGTCTAAACCACGATGACTTCATTCAAAGCCATTAGTTGCCATCCTTTAAGACATACAGCTATGGCAGTGTTAAGGAGAAAACATCCCATCTGTAAGGCAGACGATCATCCCAGTACAAGGCTGATCAGAAGTCTGGGTGGCAAAGAGAATATCTGGAGAAACTTTCAGAAAGCACTGAAAAATTTAGAATTTTCCAAGAAAATGTGCAGTATTCTCTACTAATTCTGAGTCACTCTATTTTGTTGTCCTTATCTACACAATTGCTGCCCATTAGGTTTTTGGGTATGTGTTTCATGGAGTGGTTACTTTCTAAAACCTGCTGTCCTCAGATTCTAAGAACCTGGGGAAGGACTAGCCGTTCTTGTAACAGTAAGTTTGCTGTGTATAGGGACAGTTTATTTCATTATAGTTATTAAATGCTCATCTTTTCTACGACATTAAAAGTATTTTTCTGTAATGAAAGTAGTTTTCATTTTCTTATTTAAACAACTAGTACCTTTTAAGCAAATCAAGTATTGATCCTTCTAGAAAAGTATACTTAGTGATGTAAATACTCTTCTAATAGTTTTAAAACTCTCTTCAGACCCAAATCCAGATACCCAGGTAGATAAACGGGAAACGTTGCCTTGTTTGCTTTCCTAAATGTTAAAGAAGGTAAGCTATAGAGAAATAACACTGGTAGCCTTTTTATAGTCAGCTTCTGAACCACATTAATTATGTAATTTAAAATATTTCTATTATCTTTTAAAAACATTCCTCTATCTTGTAGGCAGTGTGGCTGGGGGGACCCTTGAATGATACCAGGCAACAGAATTTTCAAAGTCAGTTTTAAGTGTCATTAAACATGCCTAGCTCTCGGGTGTTGCCAGGGAGAATGAATAGCTGCACTGAACTGCTGCTGTCTCCTGCAAGTCAAGGCTGGGCTGAGCTGGCAGCACTTTTCCAGACACCCTCAGCAAGAGGGCTTTTCTCAGGGCCCCTGGATGTCTGCTGCTCTGGGACATGAATTTTATATACCTGTTTTCTAGGTCATAGATGAGTTTGGTGAAAGCTATGGAGTGTTTCCAAATGAAGCAATAACAGACAAACTAAAATTTAACTTTATTTATCATATTTAATTAAAATAGAATAGGCAAAAATCAGAATAAAGTGTCACTGCCATTCTGTGTGCAGGAAGGGGAGTCAGGAGATGGGACTGATTATCGGGAAGACATTATTGTAAGGTTCAAAGTAACTAGGTTACATAATGTTAAGAATAAAATGCCAAGATTAGGTATTATCCCACTTGATTGAAAAAAGGGAGTCAAAAGTTTATCCTACTTACTATAATTTTTACATTAAATAATACAGTGATATATTTCTGAGCAAGTGATACAGTAACTTGTAGAAGAAATTAAGTTTCCATTACACAATGACTAGAAAATCTCAAATGCAGCTAAGCAGCTATGCTAGAGCTCAGTATATAACACCGTTACACTGTTCTGGGCTAGTGTACATGTCAGCTTAATCTAGAAGTGTATTTTAGGTTTCAGAAAGGCAGCAAGAGTTATATTTTGGCTTTAATTCTAGATGCTTAACAAAGTTAAGGCGACAGTTGAAGCATATTAAGTGAAGGTAGTTAAAATTTAATGATAATCAGCACAATCTCTTGCAACATACATACACTGTATAATGCTTATGTGGAATGAAACCAGTGTTATGTATTGGTGTTTTACGTACGCACACTATGCACATACACAGAACTAAAAACTATCAAAAGCAATCACTATTGTCGTGCTGTTGAGAGCATAGTAAAAATGCAAATGTACCATAAAACTAAAGTACTATGAACAGCACTACTGGCAATCTAGAATAAAGGTGACCAGTTCTAACACAAAGCTAAGCCTGTATCATTCATCCTAATCATAATGGCTTATAAAAGCATCAGGTTTCCAGTAGAGAAACTATTCTATGAAAGTTAGTAAATATTTTCAGTTTCACATCTGTAAAACCCAGATAAGGCTACAACTATCTTGGAGTCTGAACAAGATATGAGATCAAACAGTACGGTTCCCAGCCATAATGTAAGACAGGAAGGTCCTCATGCAGCATATGCTCTCTGGCTCCTAGAAAGCTTCATGTGCATAATAAAGAAGTTGTCAAAGAAGTAAACTGGAGTAGGTCACCGAAGGTTCCATTGTGCCATGACTTAAACTTCAGGAATGGAGTGATCCATCAGGCTTTTCATAATGCTTGGTGCCATCCTACAAGAGAGGCATTTTTATTAAATGCTGAAACTTGGCTTTCTTTTTCCAAAAATACTATGTGGAGACTAGAAAATTCCAATTCAATCTTGGGACCTATTAGCACCCAGTGGAGTGATGGGGAGGTTCTTTTTAGTGAGCTCAGATCTAAGGGTCACAGGTATATCGTAACTGCTTACTGATACCTAGTGTGAAAGGCTGTCTTGGCTAGAAAAATCAAGATACAAAGCTTTTCATGTTAATGATTAAAAAAAAAGAAAATGACGCTATTATGAACTGAGGAGAAAATGGGATGGGGAGGGGGGGAGGAGACTATCAATGGTTTAAGAAAACTCTCCACCAGAGAACTCTCCAACTAGTTTAGTCCTCACAGTAATTCATTCCCTCTCCCAGCTCCACCCCCAAGAGTAGCTAGCTATCAATTTTACCTAAAGCTGAACCAAAAATTTCACTACAAGTGTTTTGTTTTTGAATCTCTTTGATTTTCACATGCAAGTTAGATTCTGAAAGAGGGATTCCAAATTGTCCTGGCAAAAATATCCATGATGTTAAGTCTGGCTTTTAAAAACAACAACTCTTGCAGCCCCTTTTCTATTCTTCCTATTCAGCTTTCCAGGTCACAATTCTGAACTAGCAATGCACCTGCACATACTTCCTGTTTCCCTCTTGATATGCTCCAGAGAACAAAAAATTAACTGCTAACAACCCACAGGCAAGAATTCTCCCATCATAAATGATCATAAGGAGGTTTCTACTGAGTAAAGGAGTGACAGGCATAGTATAACCACAGATAATTTTACTGAAAAACTGAAAGCTGGAATGAAAGCCTACCCAATTCTACCTGTGCACCTCATTTCCTACTAGGAAGTATCAAAATTTATAGGAAGCACATAGTGAAATTTATACTTGGGAAGTTGTGAGGGGTTAGCCTTACAAAACAATTCCTCTAAATAATTTACTTCAGATTTCTATAAACAGCAATTTAATCCCTTAGGTAAAAGGACTAACGATTTAGTGCTGAGAAACATTGATAGCCACATGCAAAAAAAAAAAAAAAAAAAAAAGCAAGATCCATATTTAACTCCAAAACCAAAAATTAATTCAAAATGGATTAAAGATTTGGACATAAGAACCAAAACCATAAAGCACTTGAAGGAAACACAGGGGACACATTATAGGACATCTACCACTAAGATAAATTTGGGAATACAATCCGAGCAGCAAGGGAAACAAAAGCAAAAGTAAACAAGTGGGAATATATTAATTGGTTCCGAAAGAAACCATCACTAAAACAAAAAGGCAACCTACAGAATGGGAAAAAAATATTTGCATACCATACATCTAACAAGAGGTTGATCTCCAAAATTAACACAGTACTTACACAAATCAACAACAGAGAAACAAACAATCCAACTAAAAAATGGGGACAGGACCCCAACAAACACCTCTCTATAAAGACATTCAGATGGCCTACCAGACATCTGAAAAAAATGTTCAACAACATTTACTGTAAGAGAAATAAATACAAACTAAAGCCACGAGATACCACTTCACCCTTATTGAGAATGGCCCATGTTTAAAAGAATGGAATTCACAAATGTTGGTGAGGCTGTGGTGAAAAGGAATTTTCATCCACTGTTAGTGGGAATGCAAGCTGGTAGAGTCCCTGTGAAAACAGTATGGAAATAAGAAAATAAAAATGGAGATTCTGTATGACCCAGTAATACCTCTGTTAGATAGTTATCCAAATAATGTGAAAAATATAATACAAAAAGATCTCTCTACATTGTAAATAGCAGCACTATTTACAATGGCCAGATCATGGAACCAGCCCAAGTGCGCTTCACCAGATGAAGGGAAGAGAAACTGGAGTATATAGTCAATGAATTATTACACAGCTGAGAAGAAAGATGAGATGGCATGTGGGGCAAAATGATTAATGAAAATGATTATATTGAGGGAAATCAGTCAAAAAATTTAAGACGGATTTTGGATGGTTTCACTCATCCACAGAAATATAAACACCCAAAAATTTACATGCAAACAATCCAAGGACTAATTTTTTTTTTTAAAAATATTTATTTATTTATTTATACAGGCACTGGGTACAGTCAGAAGTGCGGGAGGGTGAGAGAATTCACCAGAGCCAGAGCAGGGAGCAGAGCAGGCAGAAGGACTGAAGTACACTGCTGAGGGGAGCAGCGAACAGGAGGCAGGAGAGGTCTGCGCGCCATGTGGGACCCTCCTCCGGTGGCCAAGAGCAGCCGGGATGTAACCGGCGCTGCAGAAGCTGCGGGCAGCTTTGCAACCCAGCGCTCAACCGCTGCGCCACCGGGGAGGCCCGAAATAAAAATTTGAACTCAGCAAAAAGAAGACAATGGTTACCAGAGGGAACAGGAGAAAAGGATGAGGGATGGGGGAGGGAGGCAGAGGTATGGGCATGGATGGTTTGGTGGTGGATCTTAAAAAAATAAATTTAAAGTGCAAGTGTAAAGGATAGAAGAAAAGAAGCTCTACCTACTGACATGTCCAGATTTTTGGGAAAAAAAAAAAAAGATTTGGGAATTAAAAAGAAAAGTGTAGTGCTTATATTAAGACACATGACCACAAGCATCAGGCTGAAGATTTACTTACCTTTTAATGATATGTTCAAAGATAAAGGCAGGCATAATTGTAATGGTAATTATAGTACCAGATGTTGACAGTATGTCTGCAATTTGAGAGTCCTGTTGAAAAAACACATAATGAAAATTAATTCTACTGAGGCTTATAAATGTGAAACTGTTATTCTCAGTAAAAAAATATATATACAATATATATACCCTCTTATGTATTACCTCTAAAATCCTGATCCTTGTTATTTATCATTTTGCTTACCAAATTTAATTCTACAGTTACAATACTTAGCTGACAATAAAACTGCTTACATAAACTGAGTTAAATTGCTAGCAAAGTCCTTTCATTAACAAAATAACTTTCCCAATATACAATATTACCATATCCCTTCAGTTAATTATGTAGTTTTTTTAAAGATTTATTTTTATTTATTTATGCATACAAGAACTGGAAGGTAGGCCAGAGGTGGGGGGTGGGGTGAGAGGATTCACCAAAGACAGAATGGGGAGCAGAACAGGCAGATCCGCTGAAATACACTGCTGAGGGGAGCAGTGGGCGAGACAGGAGAGGTTTGCTGCACCATGTGGGTCACCTCCCTA